CTTCTTCTTAAAAGTACAATTAAACCATTTATCATCTTTTTGCAGGACGTCCATTTCTGCCGTTTCACCGTACTTAACAAGTTGTAAAAAACTTTTTGGCACATATGTTCACACTACGCTCAGTAAACATTCATCAGGAAATGTAAATATTACAGCGTTGCTGTATGAACCAGCTTCCTACAAGGCATTTAAAATAATTTACTAATTGTCCCTTTAATCTCCAAGCCCATCAGTAGAGCAGATACAGACAGCAGGTGTCAGATCAATCCATTATCAATCATAATCCCCGTCATTAGCCTGAGTCTCACTTGGCCTCATTAGTAGGTGTTTCCGGCGTCGCAGTTTTGGATTCTGAAACCTTGTTGTGTTCACCGACAGCCCCTCACACTCGAGCTAAAATAGCAGCACTGCTCCCATGTGACTATTTGTTAAGTCCACTCGTATCATGAGTAAAGCCTGCTCTTTAAGAGGACCGCAGGCCGCCCATGGAAACACGCAGCCCTCACTTCCCCAGCACTCTAGAAGACACACAAACAGCATTGCTGGCCAAGCTGTATGTATTCTTGCATCTAATTTAGGAAAATGTAAAAATGACCCCTGTGATTCTGGGATAGTGGTGGTGATTTGAGACGCTGCATTAAAAAAAAAAAGAGGAGGGAGGTGGCACACAATGCTGCCCTGCAGACAGACACACAGCTGAGGCATGATGGGATAGTTGAGGTATCCCTCTGTCTGCTGCAGGGAAAAGGATCTGCGGTTCTTGAGACGAATGCTGCAGGCAACAATATTTACTCAAGACTTCATTGCGGTTGCACACGCATGTACAAACAGGGGTTTAACCTAAACCAAACTTTGACCTCTCTGCACCCTGGGCTCTGTCACCCAAGCCCCACTTCTATTCTTCACTCCGCATGCCACCCAATAATGTCAACTACGAGCTGCTGTCAAGCTGTTTTTAAACACAAGGACAGAGACTCAATTACAGCAGAATGGCTTTCTGGAGTCATCACCGAGCTCCGAGACGCGCTCACACACCTGCTAATGGTCGTCAGATTTGCTGGCAAAGGGGTCAAAGGTCCAACCAATCTGCGTTCCACAACAATCAGCAGCTTCCAGCAGCCTGTTGTTAACATCACTCGTTTGGAGGACATGTAAACACCAACACACACGTACACACATAGGTGGTTTGTTTTTTCAGTGACAAGCAAAGGTTGGTGACTTTTTCAAACAAACCATGATGTGGCAGCGTTAGCGGTGCCCTTGACTGTTAACAGACACCCTTGTTTGCTTTGACCGGGGGAGAAAATTATCACCAACAAGCAGTGAAAATAAATGCAGCTGCCCTTCCTGCAAGTCCCACAGTTCATTTTTAGAACACACTCCTTCTTTCCTGGTTATGACAGAAACTGAATAAAAAAAAAATCCCTGTGTGAAAAATATAGCATGGTGCTTGTTATAAGCCTTGAAAGATTTTGTTCTTTATGATTCTAATTAATTTTGCAAAAAATTGTATCTGCATCTGTTTTGAAGAACACAACTTTGAAGCAAATTGAGGTGTGACTGGAACTATTTATACAGTGATGGTTTGATTTTAAACCGGGCAGAACAGACATTTTATGACAAGTCCTGAAAATGTAGATCAGTGGATCCCAACCGTTCATGACTTGTGACCCCATTTTGACATCCCAAATTGTCACTTGTGCAGTCAGGTATAAAGAAAAAACAAAAAATCTTTGTCAACCAATCAAGATGTACAGAAAGGATCAGTGAAAGTCAAAGGATATGGTTGATTAGAAGTGTGTGTGGTGTTTTTAATCAGAATTTTAAATTAGATTAGAATAACTTGAAGGCACTGCCACAATATTAATAATTCACATTCCCACAACATTGTTAAACCTTTTTAACATTTCAAAAGCAACATATTTGTACACCCCCACTGTATCACAACATTGTTAATCTTACACTCAGTTACTACTGCAATCCCATTTTAAAAAGACTTCAAAAACTAGATTTTAATGTAACAATACTGTCTGTCATTAGATTCGTCTTTTTTCAATTTAGAATGTTTTCTTCTTTGCATTTTAGGCATCAAGCATCCTAGAAAGTTGCATTACTGCCACCTATAGTTCACCTATATAACACCAGGAATCTACCAAACACCTGCAAACAGTACTGAAAAGCAGAAAAAGAAATGGACTAGCAGCATCACTCTGAAATATACCCAGGACAGTGAAGAGACCCCCAACCAGTCATAAAAGTTCTGTTGGCGTCAAAAATGCATTTAACAGCCTGTTACAACCACAGGCAAGTTGTCTGTGTTTTACATTTCTGCCTCTCTGCCCCCAACTGTGTGCTGGCAAACATACAAAAGAACCTAAAATAACGCTGAGGGGTTGAGGGGGACATCAATCTGTGGTGGACCCTCGCCTATGTAATCCTAAACCTTCACCTTCCTCTTAATACCCATCATCTCCCCCCTTAATACCCACACATACCAGGACAGAGGAGGGCTGCAACAAATGGTGCACCGACAAAGGGCAGAGTTCGGCCAGTAGCACTTGTGCACATTCATTGATGGGCATTAATGACACATACACAGATAAAAGACGTACGTACGCAGGGAACACACACCAGCGTCAGGGAAGGAGGTTAGTGAAGATAGGAGGAGAAGGAGGGAGAAGGCTTTTCCCTCTCGATTTAGCAAACCTGATCAGAAAAGCTGCAGACAAGTAATTGCCGTCCCCCCGTAAGCCTCTTCGTCTAAACACTCCCTGGTCTAGGTCCCGCAGTGGCGTAAGGCCTCAAATTAAAACGAGAGATCGAGAGGCGAGCGCTAAGCCAATCAATAAATAGACAAAACACACGCTAGGCCACCCCCAGACTTGTTCAAAGAGTTGAACGGAGTGTGACAGGGAAGGGGGTATGGGGGGGATTTGCGCAGGAGACCCAGTAGCGTTAAGTGCATGCGTTACAATTACAAAAATAAAAAGCCTCCTAAATCATGACATGAAAGCCGAGTGCAAATGTGACGATTAAACCGTGGGCGGGGGTGCAAATGGCAACATCTACAAATACACTACAAGCACGGCTATAAAATGACAGTTGGCCTCTCTGGCCCGCCGCAGTCGGAAACTACCAAGAACTATTTGGCTTACGGACAATTTAACATTAGGGCCCAATATAAATTCAATAAAACGGCTCACATTAGCTCTAACACACTGGTCTGTACTGAGTGCAGTGATTCAATGTAGACTGTAAGACTATAAGTTCACACATTAAGCTGCAGGATACTCATGTCGGAGATTACCTCACGGCTTTATGGGACCACAAAACACATGACATCATCATGTCAGGTCAGGTTGACCAGTCAGACAATAAATACTGACGTATTTGTTCTTGGCCTGGACATTAGTCTCGACCAGCAGTTTTTAAGTCTTATAATGTAGTTCTTTCTCTGAAGAGCTTTCAAACAAACAAAGACAAATGTTGAAATAAAACAAAAACAACAACAACATTTTCTTATTTATTATTTTCAACTTATTTATCTAAGACATGACACTCGTCTTTCTTTTTTTTTCATTTGCACCTGCCATCAAGTGCTCTGGGTCCCCCTAGGGGACACACTTTGAAAACTTAGATAGAGCTAAAGGGAGCAAGACTATAGTAATTGCAAGAGAAGCCATTAAAGTTCGTACAAGCAACTGGTAAGCTCTCCTAAATGTAACAAAGCATAGCAAGCGATAAAAAAAAAAGACAAAAAAAATTTAAAGCTCAACCCTAGCAAGTAGTTAACTAAAACTGCTTAAAATCATCATCTAACTACTATACAAATGCAGTCCATTTTGCCTGAAAGCAAAACATTAAAAACAAAACAAAAAACTTAGTCAAGATGGAATAAAAGCTCAGCGTTTAGCTGACTGTGGCTATAAGAAATAAAACTGGCATTTAAAGATACAAAATGGACACAATTCAATTTTTGTCAGGATAATGTCTATTGGGCAAATAAAAAGCAGCCAAATGATGACACAGAGAAAGAAATTGTAGCTGCTTCTTGGTGGAGTTTGGTTGTAATTAATCCGTTCACCTTTAGCTGCTGACACTGATACAAAGACCAGAGAAACTCCCACCTGAACCACAGGGTCCAATACACACCTGTAAACACTCTGATACCACCACTGTCAACTCAACAACAAACATGACCGGAGGCTCAAACCGACAACCCAACAAACACACACTTGCAGTGTGACTGCCCTGCCCTCTATTAGGGAATACAATGAGTGTGTAAAGGGATCTTAATGAAGGAGTCCCCTGAGGCAGAGCCTACTGCCTCTGCTGAGGACGTGTACGGTTACAGCTCATTAAATGAACATGAGTACAACCAGGGTTGGTGTGTGTACGAGGTGTGTGGTGCGTGTGTGTGGTGTTCTCTTACACCGCCAGATTTAGCCGTTTATGTCATGTAGCACACACGCACCAATTTATTGAGCATGTTCATGTTCCATTTGTGTGTGCGTGTGTTGAATGAAGTCATTAGAGTTGTGTGTGTGTGTGTGACTTCAACTGGAAAAAACTCTGACAGGACCTTTGCTACAGCAGCTACAGCATCAGCAGCAGAAACAGGACTCCTGCTCTGACAAACTCAACTTGACTTGGGAATGTTTTGAGTGTGTGGAAAATAATTTTGCAAGAAACAAACAAACAAACAACATTACAATTAAATACAGGAGGATAATACAGAAGAAGATGTTGTGTAAAATTGGGTGGCAGTGACTCCCTGTGGACAAAAATGGAACTACACTGACATCTGCGTTAATTTTGAATTGAAAACTTAAGAAACCAAACTGTTGCACTTTTGAATGGTCAAATTGTAAAATGGTAAAATGATCTAGGTGTTTTTGTTTTTGTTCCCCTTTATCCTCCTCTTGCTTAAAACATGTTCATATTAGCTACTGTTTTCTGCCTTTTTATTTATTATTGTGTGCGTTTCCTGGTCCACTCACCTCTCGACCCTTGTGCGTCACCAGGGCTGCCAGTGGTTTTGCATAGAAGCGGCTGAAGCTGAATCCCAGACAGCCGTACATGCTGTTAGCAGTTAGCTTCAGAGCCTTCTGACGGATGTCATACTGAGGAGCACACAAACCTCGAGTTAGGCCAAATAGTTGCACTAGTGAAACTCAATAAATAAAACATCTTTAGACATCAACTCTACATCTATTCATGTCTGTATCCTGTTATAAATATGTAAACATAAATATATATATAAAAATATACACTAGTACACATGTACCTGCATGTAAAGATCTGGGTTGACGTCATGCTGCTTCATCAGCTGTTTGACTTGTTTACGCCGCTCCACGAGCTTCCTGATCTCCTTTGGCAGGATTCCCATTTCCAGGCTGGAATCTGGGATATCAGGAATCTCCTCAGGCTCGCCTACCTTTAATAACGAGCAGAGGAACAAGTATTATAAAAACAATTCTTAAATTTAAAAATGGTGGATCGAAAAAACAAAGAGCCACTAAGAAACCTCTTGTTTCTTCTTTGTGTTTTGGGCTTCTCTCTGCACTGTGGTGAAGCAGATGTTAAACTCCTGAATGATTGATGGATACAGACTGTTGAAGTCCAGCAGCAGCACAAACTTGTCATAAAATCCTATGAATAAACAAGGAAATAAAAGGTTGGGATAAAAAAAAAGTGTTGTGTGCATCTTGAAAATTTAACGGCAAGAATTTATGTCTGAAACTTTCCAGCACATTCTTACCAACTTTAGGATCCAGCACCAGACCTCCAGCGTAGGCAGCCTTCTTCCTTCTCTTCCCTTTTCCTGCATCCACGTCTTCTTCTCCTTCACCCTGAGAGATGCAAACAAAAATAAGGAAATTGAAATGAACCACAATCACAAAAACTGCCCATGAGAAAAAGGAAGGTTTCAGTGTTTGTCTCTGTTACCACCTCCAGCAGAGCCTTTTTGAAGGAGGGTTTGTCAGGGACGATGTAGTCTTTGTCATGGAAAGCGTGAAGCAGCAGGAACTCATTTCTTTCAGAGCGACCGCCCATCAGAGTTCGAGACTGTGGAGACAGAAAAAAAATTCAAATCTAATCCTGCACTCATTTTTAATGAGTTATTGGTTCCTTTTTTCTAATGTATATTTTTTGTGTGCAAAATACATGCACAAAGGGCGATAATTCAACCTTTGGAAATAAAATTCCAGCTACATCTATAAATACAATTATTCTGTGTCACATGGATGTTAACTATAGGACTTAAAAACGTACCTAGCTAAGCACAGTATCAACAGAGCCTTTCTTGTTGTGATCAATTTTATTTTACGGTGTGACACTAACCCTAATTTCTTATTAATTTACCTTAAAGACTTCCATCAAACAGGAGTTGTTGTAAAACCAGACTGTAAGTCAAGCGAATAGCTGAAAAGCTTTTTTGTTGCACTTGACTGTATTTTATCCTTCGTTGACTCAATACAAATCTAAATATGTATATAAATATAAAAAGTAAATGAATGTACATTACCAAGACGTTGCCAGCGATGTTGGTGATCTGCAGAGCCAACGGCAGCACATTTAACTCACACATGATCAGGAGGATCAGTTCAGCGTCTGTCCACGTCAGCTCTAACAAGTAGAGCAGGTGAGGAGAGTCACTGCCGAAGACGAAAAATTACTTTTTAAAATTTCAGCATCACAAACAGATGGATTAAAAATGTGTTTCCGTGCGTTGATCGTCACCTATAGAGATTTCTGATTTCTTCCTGTGGCACGGTGGCTCTCTCCATCTTCAGCACCTGAGAGACCAGCTCCGTCAGGCGGTAACTTTTACAGCGGATCAGCTCCTTGGCCGAAATTTCCACGTCACACACCAGGCGACCGCAGGTTGCACTTTTCTCGGCAAATGAACCTCGACCCTTACATATCACAACAAGTAGAGTGGTCAGTGCGTGGTTAGTGATTTTAGTTTAGAAAACACTAAAACAGCCTCTGTCACTTGTTGACATTTTAATTCTTACCCCTAATTTGGGCATGTTGGCTCTCCTTAAACGTCCCATCTTGGACCAGTGGGGAACTTTGCACACAGTGATCCTCTGCAGAAGCACCTCCAGGTCGAAGCCGAAGATGTCGTGACCCTACAGGAATTGATATAAGTCACTATGTAGGTTTACGTTACCTTCAGAGGACATTGCACATCCTCAGAGTCAGACTGACTCACCACCAGGACATCAGGGTCGATCTTGTGTATTTTGGCCAAAAAGAATGCAAGCAGAGTTCGCTCTGTACCAGCTATCTCCACCTTACCGTTCTATCAAAGGGACGGAGACGACAGAGACACACGACTGGTCAGTATTCACAGTCAAATACACACCACAGCCACATGAGGTATACAGGAGTAAAAACTACTGTTCAGCTGATTACATTTAAGATCATTATATGAGATAAAAAAATGAAAATATAAATCAAAGTTTCTGTATGAGTGAGTTGAAGAGGGAGCCTCACCTTCTTCTTCACTGCTTCTGTGAAGTCATATGGGAAAATACAGTCTGTTGGTTTACTGACCACTGTGAAATGAAATGAAGAAAATAATAATTGTTTAGTAAAAAAAAAAGAAGTGGGGTTTAAATTCACATTGGGTTAAAAAACAATTTAATGAAACACAAATTCAACAATACGGGCATAAGTTCAGGAATCTAAACACAGTATATTACATACCAAGTATAAAAATACCTATACATTTATATGTGGTTTAAGCTGTGCTTTTAGAAGCTGCCATATGTGGGGGCGCCCCCCAATGGCCAGAAAACGAGCACAACAACCTGACTGAACAGGTCCAGCAGCCCAACACTGCAAGAGGTTCATGTTTGGAATTTATTTTTTATTTCATTAAATGTTTAGCTTCTTTTTCGCTACATTCTATGCAAAAACAGGGGATACGGGAGTACTACTGTACAACTGCTTCATCTGTACTACAACAGTGCTAAAGACAACTGAACAACTCACCACAGAAGTAGGTCTGATAGGGGGGTTTGGGTGGAGCTTTGTCCATGTGGAACTGATGGTGAACAAGTGCAGCCAACGACACAATCTGCAGGAGAACAATCACGTTGTAAGCTAATAAAAAAACATTTTGTCTCTGAATAACCCCAGCGTAGAGCAGGCGTGGGCAAACTAAGGCCTGGGGGCCAGATCCGGCACGCGAAACTTGTCCAAATTATATAATTGATTACATTTTTGCCTTTTCCCTGCAATGGCCACATTTTAACTGTAGATGGCGTAGAGAAGGCTAAAAGCATTTTCATGACTTTTACATTTCATTTATCGAAGTTCACACAACCGCTCCATCTATTCCTGACCCGGCCCTCCGTGTCAAATTTTAATGAATCTCTGATACAAAAATAATGGTTTAAAATGAGGATGAAGAAGTAGAAAAGAACAGAACAGACTTGAATAACGGCAAAAGGAACATTAAGGAACACTTCATGTGTGTTGTCCATGTGTTCTGACCTCGTTGTGGTGAGTCTTCAGATTCTGCACAGTCTTGAGGGCGATGGACATGACAGTGATGGGAGGAGGAGGCAGATCTTTAACCACAGAGACCAGGTCACTCCTCAGGGCCAGAGCCTCCACTTTACACCAGCTCACTGGCTGACCAATCCGCTCTAACACACACACACACACACACACACACACACACACACACACACAAAGAGGAGATGTTATATCAGCATGTGATCAGTTTGAATTATTGTGTTGGTTCAATGACGACAACAAATAAAAGCTGTCGTCTGTCAATCCTGCTTACGAGGCGTTTTGATGTCAAGCCAGCATGGCCCTTTGATCTTTCTGCTAAGCAGGAAGTGCTCCAGACTGGAGGTGTTGGTGCCAAAAATGTGAGAAAATGTTGCCCCCTTCAGGGTTGAGGGTAGAGCAGGAAAGTCAGCCTGTGAAAAAAAAACTTCTGATCAGATTCTTGGGATAAGATTCAGATTGACGTTTGAAAAGTTAATGTATGAGAAGTGACTCACAGAATATCGGATTTCCAGATACTCGCTGTTAGTGGGAATGTCAGGAATTTCAAAGCAGTAGTTCTTGTCTACTTTCTGCAAACACGTAAAAAAAACTGTAAAAACATAGCAGAGTGCTAGAAGTAAATGACCGAGGTTGGTGCTGACCTTAGACTTAAACTTCATGATCTTGAACTTCTCAGAGAGTTCACTAAACTCCTGGTAAACGTCCATCATTTCTACAGGAGTGTCTGACACCTCTTCTGTCTTGGGATCCACTTTCTATAAATAAAATCAAATTAATGATTACATTTCTTAAAAACTCTGCATTATTTCTTGACTTACAAAAAAAAACAAACTCATCATTATACTCTCTTGAGAAAAAAAAAAAAGTTTCTTATTAGTGCTGACAGAGAGACACCACACTTACAAACTCCCGAGGTAAGAGGAATATGGTCCTCTCAATGTTCTTGACCGACACGCAGCAGCTGACGTGAGACTGTGCCGACTCGATCCACACTTTTCCAAACAGATACACCACACCTGCACCAGAGGTTAGCAGAAAATATCTGATCAGAACAACGCAGGTGTGGAGTTGTAGGGGGAAAATAAACTTGATATAGAAAGGACAGCTCTATACAATGTTGTATGTTTTTTTATTATTGAAAAATAAGGTGATAAAGAAAAAACATAACAAAACTCCATCCAGAACAAAATGACAGCTCCATAAAAAAGTGTCTGCCTGACCTGCGTGGTTGTACTGCTCCTCAAAGGCATCCAACCAATAGAAGCGGAAAACCTGCTCCCCGCCTTCCCCTTCCACTAGAGGGAGCTGGCTAGAGTCGACCTGCACCTCCACTGGAGCAACAGTGTCCTCCTGTCCCCAGGAGCCTCCTTTCCTGCTGCAACTGGAGGAGTTAAATGACATCAACATAAAAAAAAACACATTGCACACAAATACTGTAATTTAAACATGCAATTCATAAATTTACAATAAAATCATGGATGATAAATTTTGGTCTACTTTCACATCCACCCAATCTTACAAATTGCATAAAAATAAATAAAGCAGATGCAGGTCTTACAGAAGAACAGGATCTGGAATCTCTGCTTTGACCTCCACCTTCACTGTCGCCAATGCTGCTGCTGGTTTAGATTCATCCTCTGCACCTGCAGGCTCAGCCTCCTCAGGTCCAACCTCCATCGGTTCATCAAAGTCCACTCCGTCAAAGGCCAGAGTGTCGGTCACTGAGAAATATATTATTGTACATTTTTTTATTATATGGTTCTTCCAAACCAGGGACTAATGACAACAATGAACATTATTTTATTTTTTCTACCGTCTTTTTCTTCTTCTTCTTCTTTTTGTTCTGGTGCCTCCACTTTTGTCCTCTTCATGGAAGGAGGTGAGGTGGGAGGAGGACGAGCTGATGGCCTGGAGCCCACATCAGGAGGTGGTGGACGAATCACTCTGGCCTTTGAGGCTGCAGCTGGTGGTGACTCCTGGTATTTCAAAAAATTATTTAATTTATTGATTCTTAAATAAAGTCAGTCTGAAGTGATGATTGGTTAAAAAAAATACCTTTGGTGTTTGAGATTTAATGGAAAACGGATTCAAGGGTGATCCCACGGACTTCTTTTTCTTCAGAGTGACCACAGGGGGAGGAGTCAGGAGAGAGGGTTTCTGGGAAGAGAGATGAAGAGATTGTAGTGTCAGATTAAATTTCAACTTTGAGTCAACCCCCTAGAAATTATGATGAAAAAGGGCTACGTCAATACAGATAAGATGCAGAAAGTTAAAATAAATCATTTATAATGTATTTTTTAAAATAACATGTCACTGACCCCAGAATGCAGATCCTGCAGGATATCTCCTAATAAGTCGTCTTTGGACAGATCCACGTCTTTCTGCAAGACAAAAAATTATCATTATGAACACTGTAAAAGCAAATGTGACAAGAAAAGGTTTGTAATTATTCCTAAAGTAATGCTTTCTGGATGTCTAAAAATATTTTTAAAAAATTACTATCATGAAATTATATTAATTGTTTTTTTTTTTTTTGCAAAACAAAAAAAGATTCTAATTGCATCCTTAATTATCAATGAATCTGACCTAAATGTAAAACCAGTTGACCAAAAAAAAAAAAAAAAAAAAGAGAAAGGAAAACTCACCTCAGCTGGTCTCTTAACATTGCTGTTCATGAAGAGGCTCTTAATAGTGTTGGGTTTGGTGACGGCTGGTTTGTTCACACTTTTCCTGGAGGCTGCTGCTTTAGCACCTGCTTTCCCTGTAAACACAAACATGTCATCACCAATAATGAAACGGTACAAACGACAAACAACTGGCGTATGTTGCACTCTCATCGCATTTAACCTTTTTTGTTTTCCACAATGTCATCATGCAGATCATCATCAAAGATTTCTCGCCCGTCCTCCACATATCCGATTCCATCTGAGTGAAGGAGGAAAAAAATGTTAGTCTCCCAGTCGGCACGTACTGTATTCCTGAAGTAAACACTGGAGACTGCGACTCACCATCATCAATAATCCAGTCGTCCTCCTGTCGCTCCTGAACCATCCTGGAGTACTGCTCCTCGTCCACCTCCTCATACACACTGGTGATTTCATCCACCTGAGAAAAAAGACAGTTGCTTCAACACTGCACTTTTCCTCAGTCTCTTTTTTTATTTTTCTTCAAATTTACTAGCATTTATTACTTTGGTAGACATTTGGACAAAGCGAGCAAAACAAAGTCAAATGCAACCAGAATATCAACATTTAGAAATAAAGATTAAACCCATGATCACTAACATTTGTGTAAAAATTCAACAAAAAACTTGGAAGGATACCTAAAGCAATTACAGATGTTAACAAGTTTTTGGTTGTGTTTTTTTTTTTATCTAATTTGAGGAAATAGTATTAATTAGCACGACATTTAGTCAGTTAAGAAAAATCCATGGAGATAGGCTCCTCACCTCATATTTGATCTTCTCTCCCCTCTTCGCCTTCTTCAGCTGCTCCAGTGCTGACTTCCTCCCCACCTTCTCTCTCTTCTCTCGTCTGGAACGAGACTTGGCCAGTCCACAGGAATCATCATCTGTGTCAGGAGACAGGTGTCCATCAACAACAACAGCATATATAAACATCATCAAATTCTTCACCTGTCCAGTATTAACACAAACCATCACAATGCTATACCTAATTAGCAGGGTATTGTCATAGTGAATGTATGTAAATCAGTATAAAAAACGATGAAAGGTAATCATATACTGTACATATATAATGTAAATATACACGTTAACGTTGAGAAACACCACCTGTGTTTTGCATCTTACTAACATTACATGTATACTTATTTGGGGACTAAGAAGAAACCAGAAGGCTTGCATGTGCTTTAATGTTAAACTGAAAGTTAAACAGAACACCATTAGCTGTCATTGTTATCGTTGACCGCGTTATTCCCAGACAGCGCTCTGAGCCCGTGCCCTGCTAACACAGTGTGCTAGCTAACTTCGACAATTTCCTACTTCAGTTTGCAAGATTCAGGTCGTAAGAACAGTCGAACACAATCTCACCTCCATCGGGATTCTCCACGTCCTTGTCTGGGTTTGTTACCGGACCCATGAGGTTTTGTTTTTTTGATGTTTGACAGCTGCTCTGCGAGGAAAAGTCAACACAACAGCAGCTACAGCCCGCGCCAATATGCCTTCCCGGGGAAAGTCATATGCAGGAACTTACGTCACGGCAGTACTGGCCAATGAAATAGTCGCTGTCTCAAAGTTGGCCGCACGAGGACAGCATTGCACAGTGTGACGTTCTTTGTTTACATCAAAGATTGTTTCTGCAGTTGGGGCAGACGTGCTTGGTGTTTTTCTGTTAGGTCAGTCGATTTATTTGTTTTTACACTGTTAAATCACAACTAGCTTATATTTTTACTTACAAAGTTACTTTAATATTATAGGTTTATTTTTCTAATATTAAATGGTTTTGTTTCAGTTCTTGGTAATACTGTAATATTTAAGGTATTGCTCTCATTTGATTTCCGAATTCTGAAATTATACCATGAGCCTTTTACTGTGTTTGTTTTTAGTGCTCGTGTCTGTGTCATCTAAGTTATAATAAGGCGCGGAGAGCAGCACAATAGATTCCTGTCCCAAATATTGGGGCCACAGAGACACTACAGTGTGTCCAACAATGGAAACACAAAAGATGTTTTGTACCTCCCTCCGTCGAGCTCTCCCCTCCCTCCCCCTCTTTAACCCTGTAATAACCTTCATACCCTCCTGGACTGGTAAACAGTATTTTGTGTTACGGCCACAACAGCATCCAGTGTTGTCTGCTGGACATTTTTTGGTGGAATTTTAACAAGATGTTGCAGGTGACATAAGTTATTATTAATGTGGTACAATAGGTTCAATGTGAAGTCTGAGCAGCTGACCTGGGCTTCTGACCTTGATTGGACTGGATCTGGACCAGGGCTGGACAGACGGATGGACTGTAGCCACCCTACAGGGGATGGAACAAAAGCAGACAAGCAGACAGCAGCAGCTTTGGACTGAAAGCAGAGCAGACACCGAAGCAGAAGTGACACGGATCAGCATCAGTACTTTGTGTTTTTATCCACACCATGGTGAAACAACGACGGGTCAGAGCCCATTCCTCATGTGCAGCTGTTGCCTCTCGTTGTTATAGGAGAAGACTAACAAAGGTAAGAGCTCACTCTAAGTTGACTTATCTTGATTTGGATGTCTGTTGATCACAAATTATTCTTGATCCAATTCACGTGTGTTTCATACCATCCACAGCTGAGGGTGTGTCAAAAAGTTTTAGGCTAGATTTTGATTAGATTTTCATTTTACATCTACAGCTGTTTCACATGTGTCCAACAGGGATAAAAAAGAGAGATTTTGAGGGGAACAAATCATTTTGATAAAGGACACATGTAGGATTTATTCAAATATATTATTCATGTTTAAATAATAAGTGATGCAAATGAATTAAATAGGTATTTCATTTTTGTCTAAATAATTAAAAGAAATGTCTCTGATTTCCTCACTGCTACTATGTTTTGTTCTTTTTTGTTTGTTTTCATGGCTGTAAACTGTATAGGAATTTAAGACTGTTGTCATTTTAACTTTTGGACACACTTAATTATTTTTCCCTAACTGAGTTTCTTTTAGATGTAATGACTGATTGATTAACATAACAATTGCCTTGTTACCTTACTGTTTAATTTTCTTAAAAATTGATACATAAAAGTTTATCTATAATTAATAATGATTAGGAGTGAAATGTCGTTTTTAGTTTAATTTTGTTTCATTTTTCTAAATTAAATAAATTATTTATTATAATAAATACATACTATTTATCATGTTTTTAGCTATAAATTAACTTTTTTGGGGGGTCAAAACTACCTACAGGCTGAGACTTGAAATCTTAAGATATTTTAGAATAGAAACACATAAATATATACATTTAATAATTATTATTTGGATTTTTCAACTCAACGTCACAGTGAGTAAACACACTTGGTGATGTTGGAGCACTTCTCTCCTCCATATTACTATGGTTCACCCACCGCTCCCTCCCTCTGCTGCTCTGCTCTTTCTTGATTGGTCCATTTTTCCCAGCTCTCTCCTCTTTTCCGTCGCCATGGCGAAAGCTCACCAGCGCTGTGCACAAGCAGAGATTGTCTATTTGAACAGACACTCACTATGCCCAAAAAAAAGTGTAAAGATGATCACGGATGATGTAACTCTAGCAAATTACGCAATTTCTGACAGTGATGATGACGTGAGGTTTCTGTCTTATTTTTAAACACAAATATAAATTACACACGATTATTCTATTTATCTCGGTTATTGAGAGGTGCATGTAGACTATTAATGTAACACAAGTGCCAATAGGGGATAGACCAGACTATCCAGCCCCCAAAACAAGCAGCAGAGCGAGACGTCCTGGCTCTCTACACCTCTCAGCAATGGGACCAGAAAGGAGGAGCCAAAAGGGGAGAGTGGGTGGGGGAAACAGTTGAAGGAGAAAGAGAGAGAGAGGGTGGGGGGGGAGAGAGAGAGAGAGAGAGAGGGAGAGAGAGCAGTAAGGAAGGAGAAAGAGAGAGAGGCATCATTTTCACTGATGCTGAGTCACATTACTGTGGGACCACAGCTGCATCCCATGAGCCTTTGGGAATAATGGAGGAGCTCGAGCACACCTGTCCTCATCCTCGGACGGTAGGCTTACTGTCTGTGTTAGCCATTGTCTGATGTTTGTATTATTTATTGTCGAAAAAGAGGGAGAAGAAAAGGGGCGAGATAGATAGGGAAGAGGAGTAGAAGGAGAGAGAGAGAGAGACAAAGAGAGGGATGATGCTCTCCGCCCTGTTATGAAACTGATCTCATCCCCTATGTGTCTGAGATGCTGAGTGGTGTGTGTGAGTGTGTGTGTGTGTGTTTGTCAAAGCACCACAGACGCCTAATAAATGGATCTTGCAGCAGTAAAGATGGAAAACTCACATGTTTACTCTCCTCCTCGCTCCTTTTCTTTGGGTTGTTTCAGTTCAACTGTGTGATTTCTTTTTCCGTGTCGTGTGCCTTTGTGTTTCTCTTTAAATTAATTAATCCTCCTCACACCAGAGGAAGTCACCCTGTGCCAGGGTGACTTCCTCCTCCCCATCTTTCCTAACAGGACTGTGTTCCTGGTCAGTGAGTTTAAGCTGCACCATCTGCCACCTTGCTAAACATTTCTTAGCTGCTCGCAGTGGCTTCTGGGTGCACAGCACTGGGGATGAGGAAGCTCACTCAGCAGACTGTTTTTGTTGGAACTGCAGTTTTTTCTGCATATACTTTGTTTTTCTCGTGTAAACTGGGAACTTTTATTAGACATTGGAGTATTTTTACAGATTCAATGCAGCCCTTATGAATATGTTTATAGCCTTCATGAAAGTAGTAAAAAAAACTATAACAATACTATACTATAAAGCCCTCAAATGGTGACTCGTGCTGAACATGTGAAAAAAAGTCAGTTTTACGTTACTTCACTGTGTGTGATTTGATTTGATCTGTTAGTGAGATCAATTATTCTTACTGTACTGTAGTTGCTGGAGTTGTGTTTTGCTTTTTTTGTTTTTGGAAAGAAAAATTACATTTTGTTTCGAATTATGACAATGTAAGGGCACGTGGCTTGCCCATTTATAATAAATTGACCTTTGACTCGTTGTAAATTGTCTTTGTAGACCTTTAAGAGTCGCTGACCCGACTAGTGTGAAGCAGAGCAGGCCAGTGATGCCATTATGGTTCAGGGATAATGCTGGATTGCAATGCCATACACACACCCTTACACTGTTGTGATGGACATTAGTTGCACCTTACACCTCGTACCACAAGGGCATACTGTTCCCCTGTGTATGGCAGCTAGGTTTGATGACTCTTCTTTACCCTTTTATTGTAACTAATATGGCTGGACAGTCTGGCAGTGAGCAGAAAAAAAACAAAAACACTGTAAAATCTTTTGATCCTGCAGATGTGCAAGCCCTTGGTGCCAAGACAGATTTAATACAAGAAAGTAGGAGAAGTGTTGAAGAAACATTTAAATGGACGAATTTTGCTTGAGGATATTCAAAGTTTAAATAGAGTTTAATTTCCCTGTGTGCCTGTCTCTGATTCCTTAGTTTGATAAAACAAATTCACCCGTCTCTGGTTTTGTTGTTTACCTTGACAACATGATGACGTCATTTCCATTTTTAGAGAGCAGGTGTACAGTTTCATGTTCTAACATTGTTTTATTTTTGCTGTTTACTCTCTGTCTCTCCTGTTGTGTTTCCCTGCAGTCAACAGATGGCACACAAAGACACATTCTTTGTCAGCCTCACACTGCAGCACTCTAACCTTGAGGTTGTTTTTGTCCTCTGCCTGTCTGTCCTTTCATGAATTTATTATTGTAATTATTGTTCTGCCTAATTTACACATAGATGTCAGTTTCACAACAGTGTCACTGACAAATTGACAACATGTGTGTTGGTTTTTCCTCTTGATATTCCAGTGTGTGTTAGTTAGAGATATTTAACAAATGAACAACAGATGTTACCTGACTTCCTGTCACATGTTCAGACAAACATGAAGGATATACAGTATATGGAGACGTGTCCGCTCTTGTACACATACCAATAGAGGGATCAATAACACTGAGTGCAGCCCTGACTGATTCTCCATTCGTTGCTCTCATACAGTGAGGTGGTCAATAAGCTAATGGAGGCTACGGTAACTGAAATCCGCTAATAGAGAGAGAGAGAGAGAGAGAGGCTGTATTCATCTTTTGTGAAACTGGTCAGTGTCATGTTATGACGTGTGGTTATGAAATGTCATAACATGAGCTCTCTCAGATATCCGCCGTTCCTTCGTTATGTTTCTGTAACTACCATTTTCTTTCACTTGTCTCTGCGTTGCAGACTCTGACAGAGCCAGCCATCTTCACCAGCAAGACTAGCTGTGATTGTCAGGCCCCACATGAGAAGCTCACCATCGCCCAGGCCCGCAGAGGAACCCCAGGTTGAGCTCCTCTGCTTTTTTCATCTGCAGGCTTTCATGTTTACCTTCAACATGTTGTTGATTTCATTGATCTCCTCTGCCTCTGCCACCCTCACTACTCCTAATGCTTAACCTACATATCAAAACATACATTAAATTAGAAGGAATCATTTTTGTTACAGTATATATTAAAATCAAATGGTATAACAATCACTTTAAGATAGTAACAACACTGAAATGTAAACATTAATCACGTTCATTTATAATTTAATTTATAATTTATAATTCTTCTTCCATATTGGTTATTCCATCATTTGGATTAGTCACAGATAAAAACATTTTTTATACAGAATAAAAAAGGGTTTGTGGTATTTAGGAATTTTTATTTATCTTGATTAATCATTATGATTAATCAGAATTTTATTAATTGTGATTAAGCATAGCTTCCCTGTGATTAATCGTTTGAGATCCCTAATTAATAGCATCCCAGACTCACTACTGTGGAACACAGATCTGAATAATATAAAGTGGAACCCCTGAATCACTGACTGTGAGCACTAAGTGGTGCTGCAGCAGTGGTGCTGCAGCTCTAATTTTTAATATTTACGATAAGTCACCTGCTAACTCACTGAGACAACATTGGCGTTGTAAACACTGCAGATTAAAGATGACATAATAATGTGGCCAAACACGAAGCTTCGAAATGATTCCACCAACATGCCCAGCGAATTTTTATAAATGTTGTAAGAACAAGGACTGAAAGACAGACATTGTTTTACCTAGGTTAACCTTAAGTTAAAGTACAGGTAGATCAAAATTACTAGGTGAGGTCCTCAAACTTGATTTTCCTCTTCCTCCAGTTCCTCCAGAACTGCACAACTCTGAGTCATGATCAGTTCAGTAAAACTCCACTGCTCCGACTGCAGGGTCATAAATAAAGACCCCCATAGATACCTCAGAGCTTTTAGTGAAATTAATCAAAGTGAGACTCTAAAGGTCTCCTCCCTAACCCCTAGCTGAAATGACACCTTACTTTGTATATCCATGCAACCTCTGCACGTACAATACTGTAGCAAATGCTACTACTAACAACTCCACCAGCAGGGCTACAACTGTATATAAAACCTCCTCTAATGGCCATGTGTCACAGAGAGTCACACTTGACCTCCACTGCTGCTTCAAACTGGACTATTTATACACTGGTAGAACCAGTGCATCTTACTCTCCACATGGTTATTACTTTTTAGCTGTGTACACATTTGTCAGATCTCCTCATGTGTCACAAATTCATAAATAAACCAACTGTTTTACTGTTGCTATTTTACCTCTGATCCCTGATCAAGTCATGTAAAAAGGGCCACATCTCACATGTCTAATATTTATGTATGCTAAGGCTACATGGGCTACATGTAGGTATACAGCGTATATGGTAACCAGTTGACTTTCATGTTTGAATGTGTTGTGTGTTGTCAGTGGATCGACCAGTCAGAGTTTACGCCGACGGCATCTTTGACCTCTTCCACTCGGGTCATGCTCGTGCCCTGATGCAGGCCAAGAACCTCTTCCCCAACACCTACCTCATAGTAGGAGGTAACACACACTAACACGTACTCTAGGAACTCTCTCATGCAGAAGTCTGATTGACAGGGTTATTGCCTGTTGTTTTCCCAACAGTGTGCAGCGATGAACTGACCCACAAATTCAAAGGTTTCACAGTCATGACGGAACACGAACGATACGAAGCGCTCAGGCACTGTCGATATGTGGATGAGGTTCTGAGAGACGCGCCCTGGACTCTTACTCCTGAGTTCCTTGAAAAACACAAGGTTCTTTGTAGTATTTATCCTAGTCTTTATTTCATCTGTTTTCATTAGAATTGTTGTGAAGTTTTTTATATCATGACCTTCTAATGTAAACTTATCTTCACGGTACAAATATAAATTAGCACTAGCTTGACAAAAGTCCATCTCCCAAATCAATCAACAACTAGTTCAAAGTTTGCTTAAAATAGAAAAGGAAAAAAGCAAAAAATAGTACAAAACAAGGCCAAAAGATAAAGATAAGGCTCAGCAATAGCTTAAGCTTAGCAAAAACATGGAAAAACAAGCAATGGTTACCAAAGCAGTGGCGAGAAAAGGGCTGTGAGATAAACAACTTTTCAAAGGTAAACAAGTTAGCTTAGCCAAATTTGTGTAGCCAAAACAGTAAAAACAGAGCAAAAGGCTATTAACTAAAAACCAGAAGCTAAATTAAATTTAGCCCAGAAGGAGCTAAATGTTAGCTAGACAGTAAAATATGATCCAAAATGTAGAATAAAGATAGACTGAAGTCTTGCTATCTAAAGTTAGTCAAAATTAAGCAACAAATGTGGAAACTTTTATGCATAACAAAATTGTAGTTTCTTAGAAATATGATGTCATCGATGAAGACTCAACTTTCCTAAATATATCTACGGTGTCCCTCAGTATTAGTATCAATGCAGTATGTTCTGTCATACAATACGTCTCTTGTGATTATCTCTCAGATCGACTTTGTGGCTCATGACGATATCCCATACTCCTCAGCAGGCAGTGAGGACGTGTATAAACACATCAAAGAGGCAGGTCAGTGTGTGACGTTTTAGATTAATCCAACATGTCTCACATTGGTCAAAGGGTTCAACTTTTGTGTGTTTCGGTGTGCGTTAACTAGGGATGTTTGTGCCTACGCAACGAACGGAGGGAATCTCAACGTCTGACATCATCACCAGAATCGTCAGGGACTACGACGTCTACGCCCGCAGAAACCTTCAACGTGGTTACACGGCCAAAGAGCTGAACGTCAGCTACATCAACGTACGACCAGGCACCATATCTGTATACTGTATACTACATACAGTACTAGTCTGATACTACTTTCCTTACTGTTTGTGGGGACTTCAGACCAGAGTTGTTAAGACTTTTTAGGCATAAGTAATAACCTTTTTTAATCACTTTTGAGCCAACAACACTGACAATACTCACTACTGAGTTTGTAACTATTGATAAATGTCAAATTATAAATATTTTCCTTAATATTTGACTATTCAAGGAGAAGAAGTACCGGCTTCAAAACCAGGTGGATCGCATGAAGGAGAAAGTCCGTACGGTGGAGGAAAAAAGCAAACACTTTGTTTACCGCGTGGAGGAGAAGAGTCACGACCTCATTCAAAAGTGGGAAGAGAAATCGAGAGAATTTATTGGCAACTTCTTAGAGCTTTTTGGTCCAGATGGAACATGGGTAAGACCACTTTTTATTTTATACTGCAATAGAAAAAATATTCAGTACGCAATTCACATTCAATAAACTTAATTGGCAAAAAAATCCAAAAGGTTCAGCTGTTGTAGAATGTAGTATTATTTGGTATTTGTAGTAATTTCTCCCACTCGTTCAGTTGTATCTCATCATTTTATCTCTACAGAAACAGGTGTTTCAGGAACGCAGCGGTCGAATGCTCTCCTACGCTCTCTCTCCCAGAGAGTCGCCCTGTAACAGTCCTCCTCGTGAACTTTCCCCCCTTCGCTCGCCCTCACCTCCGTCACCTCCGTCACCTCCCACGCGCTGGCACAGTGCCCGTCCCTCACCCCCCACCTCCCCGAAAGGAGCCTCCGCATCCGTGAGCAGCATGAGCGAAGGTGATGAGGACGAGAAGTAGACGACAGACAGACCGTTGGACTGGTGCAAACACTGCACTGGCAGTTGACTGCCGGAGAACTGCTCACTCTCACACACACTCACGCGCACACACTCACACACAGAAACAATAATCCTCAAGGATGTTAATAAGCAATAGCTAGGAGGTGTCATCCTGACCTCCAGTGCTTAGAAGCCATCACTGTCACTGTTGACGGAGAGACGGAGGACTTATGTACACACTACACAGTGTCACATATCCCTAGAAGGCCCAGAATCCTTTGCAACATCTTCAAAGAGGATTTGTTTGGGATTGCACGATCATGACAGAAAGTTTAGACAGCCTACTCATGACCTCACTGCATTTGTCCCGTTGTGTCTTGTTTCACTTTTCCTTTTCTTTAGCGCAGGAAGCCAATGACTCAGTGGAGCTCCAGTCACCAGTTGATATCAACGCTCTCATCATTACACAAACACTGTGTCAGCATTTTAGTGCAAAGGGTCATGTGAACCAACACGAACGTGACACATTGGTCACTGTGTCACTCTGTGCCTGTTGAAGTCGACAGATTAAACTGCTGGTTCCCTAAGTGTGGGGGAAGTGTTCCATGAAAATAGCAGTTTTTAGTAATTACAGTGCAGGGGGGGGGGGGGGGGGGGGGGGGGGGGACTAGTTAGTGCACAACAATTCATGATACATGGAAGAGTGACCCTCGTCTCATCTTCTCGTTTATTCACATGTAAAAAATGTAGTCACTTCCATTAGTACTCCCATGTTTAAAACACTCACAAAACACCACAGTTCTACACCCATCCATGGTCTTACTTTAATTTCACAGAAACATGTTTGTTTTTACCACTTAATGACATGAGTGCAAATTTTGTTGCTCTGTGGAAGATTGTACCAGCTGGTAACTAAAAACAACAGGCAACATGGAGATGTAGCCTTTCTCTGGCACTCTGATGATACTTGAAATACACAGCCTCCCCCGCCCCCCCCCCCACTCTCCTCTCCCCTTACTGCAGGTGAGCGTCTGGTCTTTTAGGGCTGGAGTGTAGTCCTTGTGTTTTCTTTGCTACCGTGTCCAAAGTGTGTAATGATAAGCTTCAGTCTGGTCAGAACCAACGTCTCCTCTTGAACAACCCAAAACAAACACTAATGCAATGTCAATGTCTTCTTTTATGTATTATGTTAACCTACACTATGTGTAAATACTCTGACTTTTTTTGTTGTTGTTATTTTGTAAATTTTAGCCTGATATGTAAATAAAGCAAGAACATACTGTGTAAGAATCAGAATCCAGTGATGGTATTTTTAAACAAGGAGGGAGAGTGGGCAGAGCCAAATGTCAAGGGACACTGTAGGACAGCCCCCCATCAACTATTTTGATTTCTTAAATGTTGTTTGTTCATCATTTGCTTTAAATATTCCCTAAACCCTTTCAAGGCATCTCTTCTTTATCACCCTAACCTGCTGCTTACCCACCAATCAGAACACATCCTCTTTTCCTCACCCACTGTCCGACCTCTTAAAAAAAAGATTTTCTTTCTATCACATCATCGAGGCACCTCACTAACATCTCATTGTCCCTTAGCTTTTGTTGCTTCTCTGACTCTTCTACATTTTTTTTGAAAAAAAGTCCTTTAAAGCAGCACTCAGCTAAAAACCAGTTCACCAAGAAGAGAACGGATTCCAAATACTATTATACTATTGGCCTTTCATAGACCTGGCACTTCAACAGACACATAAAAAATTTGAGAACCACAATATTGAACAAACATTACAAGGAGCTATGTGGCAGGGCGTTATTGGTTTATGTGACGGGGGTAAGGTAATGGGGGCAACAAGGACAATAAAAATCTATTTGAATATTTGTTTGTGCTTCAGTTGGGAAATTGAGGTGTCTTGTATCTTTGTTCTTTGAACTTTTGCTGAATATGTGTCGACCCGTCAGGTTCAGAAATAGAAGAAAAGAGTTTGTGAACAAACTCAGAGACAGATTAAACACAAGAGCAGTTTTCTTTATTGTCATGTTTAACAATAGAATATGATCATGCAGAGTCACAATGGCATTGGTACGTTGTATTACATGTTCGGTGTGTGTTACTTATTCAGTATGTGCACGACTGAGAACATGGTTTTAAACTGTGGATCAGTTGGATGGAAAACACTGATTATCTCACATCTGCATAAACAGTGTTCTGTACACAATGATCGGGCTCAAATATACAGTATAGTATTTCTGGAACATAGGTACAGAAAAATGTCGCACTCAAGATGGAAGGATCCTTCCGGAAGTTCCTATTTTACAAGACCTCACAACACATGTAAGGCTTTTGAACGCAGGAGACCAGCGTCTCCGTCCTAGTGGAGAACACTGGTTGTGTTACAGCAGGCGTGTCACTGAGCCTTAATCAGCGACTGTGGCAGGTTACAGGGGCGTTGGCAGTGATGAAACGCACAGTGAGGCAGAAAAGCAGAGAACCTACAGAAGGAGGGGAAACTGTCCACACTGAAGAACGTTTCATATTTTCTTCCTTCTAAACACCTTACCCATCAGATGGAGCTGAAGGAGAAAAGAAAATCACTTCAGGTCAGTGACATCATCAGTGTTCTGTCACGTTTCTGTTAGATCTTCAATATTAACAAAATATCTGTGTAGTTTAAATTTCTGGGTGACAGATATTTCATGGAAAATATATGTCAGACTCCGTAGAGTGCAATAATAAAGCTGCACACGATGCTTACCAACCTCCATGTTATTATGGGCTGTCACAGTAATCACGTACGGTTTCATTTCTCTGGAGTCCAGCTCATCTAAACGCACTCACCCTTGAAACCCTTGTTCATTTGAGTCACAACTGTAACCAAACAATTAAAGTCCTGAACAATTAAAAGACATTCTTCATTACATTAAAAGTGATAAAAGAAAAAAATAACCCTGTTCTCACATCGGAACTTGAACGCAAAAGGAAAATAAGTGATGAATAAAATAGAGCCTGTCACCGACATACTACCTCTTCATTTAAGTGGTAAAACTAAAGGTGTTCTTGCCCAACACTGAAAACACATATTTAAATTTAACCATAAAAAGTTGAGGTGTTAATAGACCTACATGAGAAACACAGCGCCCACAGTGTGAAGCAGTGTTTGGACAAGAAGTCTGAGCTGAGTGCATCCCAACACAATGAAAATAATGACATTTCTAATAAAGTCTTTGTTCCGTATATGAGGTCTATTCTTCTGTATCAGGACTTGTTCAATACGTCACACTGGTGCTGCTGAAGCTATTTCACAGTGAAGCATCTACGAATGTGCCGATCTGAGCGGGTGTTAAATCAAGGTGCAAAGTTGTCTGCCTGAGGGAAGTTGGGACATGGGGGAGCGGGAGAGAGGGGGGAGGTGGGTGACAGGCAAAACATCTAAGAGCAGAAACATTTTAATATTACAATGAATGAACTTAAAGTTCTGATAAGGCCTTAAAGGAAGATTATTTAAAATAATAATAATAATAATAATACATATTATTATGTTTATTAAATGAAGGCCTTTTCTTACTAAAGAAAATAAAAAAACTCCCTTTTCAATTTTGTTTTTTAAATAAGATGCCCTCTTAATTCAGTATCTTATATTTCCACTGCTTAAATAATATTTTCATATTCAGTTAAATAAGGTACAACCATACGAAACCAGCCAGCATGTCTTTATTTTGCCACATGGTTCCTGGTTGCTCTTGTGTCATTTCTCGCCCGCTTTTAACCCGACAAATAAACCCTGTCTGGGAGGTCCATGCTAAGCTAATGACAAACTGGTCTAAATGTGTGTTAAGACTAAAAGTACAAAATTAAATCCCCCTCTTTTGACTGTGGATGCACTGAAACTTCATCTTTTTTTTTAAGATGAAAAAGAAACTGTATCCAGGCTTTTTATTTTAACTGATGCCAACAGAGACACTTTATCAGTAGCCTGTGTTTTACTGACCACTACAGCAGCCCAGGCACCACAGCTCACTATATACAGTAAGAGCCAGAGGGGAAAATAACAGTGATTTTGTGATTGACGATGTGATTTAACCATAATTTATAGATAATTGGTCATTTCAACATGGGAATAAACATGTGGAATTTTAAGAAGAGGCTCAGAGTAAGCTCTAGGAGAGCCAAACATTACGCCACAGCGATACAAAGCTACTCTGATGAATGCCGTTGCCATTGGGTATGGACTGAAGTCGAGGTCATCCAATAATCAGTGGAATGTCAAAGCCAGTCTGATCCAGAACCACGTTTTACCCAAAGGCAACAGCTCATCAAACATGCTCTACACTACAGGCAGAGTACAGGCAGATGGGTTCCCAGCTCATGGCGGTGCTAGCAGGCAGGGTGCAGTTATCTATTGGTTTTATATTTGGACTTGCTGGCATCGCGTGGCTCCTTGCTGGGGTTACTCCAGTCGTCGGCCTCGGGGCTGGTCTTGTAATGTCTCCATGCCGACTTGTTGAACACGGGCAGGCGTTCGAAGGACTCGCTGGACAGAGCCTTTAGGTGGAGGAGCAGAAAAGAAACAAAATCAGGTCGATGAGATTTCAATTCTAGTGTTCTTGTTGATGAAAATGTACAAAGAATGAAACTGTGGGCAGAAACACCGACTCTGAATGTTGTAGTTTTGGGACAAGCATCTGCAAAATGAAGTTCACTAGGAGCATGAATATTTCTTTCAACACAGGTGCTAATGGTTTATCTAGAAATGTATTTAAATGGAACTTGATCTGTTGTGAAAAAGGGAAACATGGAACTCTTTGAAGAGGTGAAAAATACAACACCATGTGTGAGGCTAGCTTTACATAAATAATACGTAGCAACGGCCTGACAACATTTGCATAATAAACATAGAAACAGTGCAGTTTGAATTTCACTGTGCTCCCGTCCATCCATTGTGCAATCCTAAATATAAAACACAAATACAGAAGGTCTTAGTCTAAATTTTTTAAATGTTATTTCAATGATCAATAACAGCCAATTAAAATGGTACTGGTCTCACCTGCTTGGTGTGATCTGGTCTTTGTCTATGACTGCAGGCTGTGAGGCACGACTGATGTTTTGAATTTTAGGATGTTGAGACGCTTGAGAAACCCTGCGCTCATAAGTATGAGGATCCAAGATGGTGCAGTGCGAGAACGTTGTTCTGCAGACGACATCTGCTGATCTGCTGTCAGGGTTCCGACGAACGCAAGCGAATTTCTCCACGCAGAATTACACTCTCTATTTTCACTAGTCGTTTTTCAAAATTTTTTTTTTTATTCATCTATGCTTAGATAACCGAGCTGCAGGAAGTAAATATTTAACCTGATTTTATTTAAAGATGTTTTCACAGAGCAACAATATAAGATGAATGCTGGTAATGAACAAAACAAAAATATAAAAATATCAATTTTTGAATAGTTTTGACCAATGTTTCATTCATCATTTTCTGCACATTAAAGTTCTGTAAAATGTGTATTAATGTGTTTGCGCATCATTAAACCAGCCTGTATGTAAAATCAAATTACCAAATTAAAATACTGTCTTTTCAGTTCATGTTTAATGTTGTTGTTTTGGTCCCTGGGCAGTGCAGTAGAGCAGTGGTTACCACTGAAGCCTTACTGTGTACACTCTCCATTTCAGGCTCTTTGTTCAAACTTACCACAGCTTTACATTTTACACCATGTAACTGTTCATCTTTTTTCTTTTTTTTACCTTCAGATAGATGACAGCGTCTGTGCCAACTCCCTCCATGGAGTAGAGTTTCAGGTCCCCCTGGAAGTATCGGGCATAGAGCCTTGAAATGGGTAAACCGTAGCCAAAGCCAGCCTGAGAGAGGGAGAGAGAGAGAGGGAGTGAGACAGAACGTGGATGTGAGTTAAGAGAGAGTTTCTCGTTTGTCATATGTTTTGACATAAGTATGTTAAAAACCAGTTTTTAAAATGGGCAAGAAGGTAGATACTGCAGTGATTATATGTATGAGTGTACCAGAGGGACGGCCCCCGGCTCCAGGCTCGGTGTCGGGGCGGTGGAGTACATGTAGTTAAACAGACGGTCTATCTTCCTCAGAGGAACGCCTCCTCCTCTGTCACTGATCTGAGGAAGGGAATTAGAAAAAAGAAAAGGAAGAGAAAAGGCAGACAGACACGGGATTAAACAAAGCGTGAATACCGAGGTTTTATTGAAGTAGTATCTGTGACTGGGAGTATCATGAATTCATGAGAAATTGACCTTAATGGAGAGATCCTCGTTGCCCAGAGTGACTTTGGTCTTTATTGGTGGTAATCCCTCTTTGCTGTTCTCATGGAGCTCCACTGTGGCTCTCATCGAGTTCTGCAAACACCCACAGACTTTGTGAGATGTGGCGTAGAACCGATCATTATGGACTTAAGGTCATCTGGTGGTGTATTTGTATTTAAAAATTCAACAACTGCACGCTGGGCTGCTCACCTTAAACAGTTCAAACAGCATGTGGAACAGATGAGACGGCACATACACCACCTGGATGGGCTTATTAAGGGTCTTCACTGTAGGGAGGAGGGTTCAGAAAAGGATGTGAGGAGATCGTAAGAACGTAAACAGACACAGTCTTGTGCAGCTTTTCTTTTCCAGAACAGTAACTGTAAGCATTAAAAATATATACACAATCCTAATCCTTACTCTTACCCTAATTCCAATGCTAATCCTAATCCAAACTACATCATCAACATCAATAATAGTTTTACTCAGCGAGGACCTGAAAAATGTCCCCATAACAATTGTATTATCCAGAAAATGTCCCCACAAGTACAGCTACACCCGGACTGCTGCCCCTCACCCCACAACACACACAGCTTGTTCTTCCAAAGTTAATGAGACACCAATTGTTGTTATCGTGGTGTGAGTGTATGTGAAACCCAAAGCTGTAATTGCAGTCTCGGGCCAAATACATGTTGTTGAAGCAGCAGAAAAGATTACCATAGAAAATGTTTGGATCGCAACAAAGTGACTACAAAAAATATTCTTACTGTTAAACTCCTCGATCTTCAGCTCCGGAGCAGACATGTAGTACTTCTCACACAGCATTTTGGCCGTGTCATAGGCGTCTGCACAGAGACAGAGTAGGAGGAGTTTGGAGAGAAGGAGCCGTCACTCTTTACATTCAAATTCCTATTAGAGACTCCGGGGTCACGGAGAGGCCGGCTGTGAATCTACACTGCTGCTATCATGGTGTACTGTAGGCATGATATGAACAACACTCATATGTACAATGTTTGACTTGTAGCATTGTGGAAAGCTGGAAATGATTGTGTTCCCAAACTCTGGTCACCGGGGTTTTGCTCTCATATTTTTATATATTATATTTATTATCTTTTTTGTCTTTTTGTCAAACTTTAAGTGATTTATTAGCATTTATTTTGCCAACATTATTTTATTAATTATTTTTGAAAGCAGTAGTACCGATTCCTCTGTCTAACTTTGGCTCTTTCTGCAACACGTCTGGCTAACTTTAAACTAATCTGGAGCTAACTTTAGCTTCTGTATATGTACAATAACAATTAACTGGATTGTTCCCTAAAAACTATTTTATACAGATGTTACCAACAATTCAAATGTTTGACTTTATGGACTTGTGTTTCTGGTGCCACCAGGCAATTAACTCTGAAACAGAGACAATTTTCCATTTAAACTCACCACTGACAACTTCAGCCACACTGCAGGTTGGATCTATGCTGCCGATGTGTTTGGGATGAGCAGGGTTGGTGTCATTTCCAAACAGCAGAGCTGAGCACGAACACATGGGAATAAAAGTCAGAAACAGAGTGCATTGGCTCTGACCAAAGACGGCCAGTTCAGCCTGACTCACTGTGCTGGTTGATGAGCATGCGGAAAGAGATGCGGTTGGTGTAAAAGCGGTCCAGGAAGTACTGGATATTGCTGCTGATGAAGGGGTCAAAGCCAAACTTCTCCTTGTACTCAATGACTCCCTGTGCCATGGTGGGCACGACGTCATTGTGACGATTACGGATTTCAATTAACAGTTCCAGGAAACTGTAGATAAAAGAATGAGGGAGGAAGTCTAACTCCACAAAAAAACAGACAGACTTTATAAGAACAGTTTATTAAAATACGTTATCCCAAACAAAAGAACATCTCCACAAGTGGTAAACTGAGAGAGCAGTAGAAAGCAGAGAAACACGTCTCATGTTGTAAATGTAATCATCTTTATCTTGTAATTATGGGTTAACGTGGCTGATGCTTTTGTGTCCTGTTGTCTCAGAGCAGGACAACAAATTAACGTTTGCTTTGTGCCTCTGCATGTTGGTGGCCTCACTTAAAAGTCTAGCAATGGGATATGTGACAAGTATAAACCCAGTTTATTTCAGGTTTTTTGTTTTTGTTTTTTGTTTTCATATTTTCATATCCTGAATATGTAACAAAAAACATTGTTTTGCATTAGGTGATTTTTCATTTACCTGTTGTTACATTTAACAGTTGTTACATTTGACACTTATTAATTAGGTGATATTTATTTGTGGCTGAACCTCAGTATTAACTTTAACTTAACTCCATGGCCACTTAAATTTTAACATAAGAGTTTCTTTGGCAACTTTAAGAAGCCTTTGAAGCTAACTTTAAGATTACCGTCACTGTACTTCTACACAATTTGCAATATCGTTAGCCTAAATTTAGCTATTTCGATTATTTTATGTTTGGCTGCTTTTAAGCTTTTTTCTAACTTGTAACTATTTTCCAACTGTTTTCTCCTCATCATTTTAGGAGTATATATAACACAATATAGATACAGTGATACCTGTGCAATGGACAAGGACCTACTTGTATATAAATCATGTAGACATTAACTGTGTGTGTAATAGCTGGGTGTATCACAGAGCAACGTCCTCTCATACAAGTGGTTTTTTTTTTAATTAATCATTAAACTAGTTCGTATTCACTCACTCATTCAGAGCATGACGATCCTCTGGCTTTCGATTTTCATAATCCAGCAGCTCCACAAAACTCTGCATGTACCTGATAAAGAAGCACAGGGTCAAAGGGAGACTGTTCCCATAGTTGACACCAATGAATAATTAAATTTATTATTTTATTTTTAGTATTATCAGGCAGCAATACGGTAATAAAAAGAGCGAGTGTGCATTAGTGGCAGAAAAGTCTCTCACCACTTCTGAACCAGTCTGACAGACGGCTGACTGAGCAGGTTGTCAGGCAGGAGGTTGACTTCTCTCAGTGTGTTGGCCAAACGCACAGGCAGCTCTTTGCGCAGGAACATATAGGACGTTTTCTCGCACGCATTGTTTGTGCCTGACAGAGACAGAGATAGTTGTTTCAGCAAAGCAACACAACACAACACAGAATAAGCAGTCATTTATACAGGAGGTCAGGGGGAAGTTCTTCCTGAAATACACTGTACTCTGTGTTTTAATAACTTGGCCTCGTATAAGTGATTACAGCAATGACCTGTGATTGTTAATCACGTACAGTTTACAATGTATGTATGAGAACGAAGGTAATCTATGGTACTACCGAGAATCATTGAATTTTTAGTTGATTTGATTTTTTAAAACAATTAATTTAGTAAATATATGAACTTTTTTTGAGAACATAATTTAGTATTGAATGCCAAATAACAAGGTATGTTTATATATTATTCCCTGTCACAGAAAACTGAAGAGAAAATTCTGATTTTTTTTTTCAGGCAGTTGAGAGGGAGTTAATGGGATTTATGTTTCAAAATAAAAACAGGAAAGTTTTTTTTTGAAACACCAACACCAAAAATGTTGCATGCAGTAATGGTATTTGTAGGATTAAAAATATATACATACGTTTATATAAAAATAAATATTATGACATTGCAATCGGAAGTCAGACAAAAAAACATGAAAAATGTAGTCCAACAGAGTGGGTGTCTGAAGAGAAATGACTTCAGGATGTTCTTTTGATATCAGACCATGAAAGAAGAAGAGAAGTTGAAGTTTATGTTAACTGACACATTAATGGCACATTTATTTTGGCTGCCCTGTCAGTGAACTCACTGAACAGTGTACTTTGGTTTTTCTAACGGATGGAAACTGAAGTTTCCCGTCATCTTATCGGAGAGGAAAGGTGTTCGCCCTGACTCAGCAATCATTCAGACCGAAACTGGGATGTGAAACTATGGGAGGTGAAGCCAACACTGCACAATCAATGTGGTTGTTGTCAAAGTTGACAAAAACAGGGGATGAAGGCAGTCCTCGCAGCCATCGGGACAGAGTGAAGACAGTTTTATCCTGGACACTTTGCCAGTCCAGATCTCACCAAATAACCACTCACAAACACTCTCTTTAGCTTTAATTTTACTTATTTATATATAATTTTTCATTCAATGAGTGTAGCACAAAGGGCTGTACAGATCAAAGGTTAAGGCTGGGCACTGAGGAACCACTCATACCTACAGAACGGTGAATAGGAGTAAGAGTCTCCAGTTCACCCTAATGTGCATGTTCTTACTTTAGGGCAAGTCACTAAACACATATTTCACTATGGTTAAAGTTGAAAGCTTTTTGGCAATTACTTGTCATTTATTGCAGCAAATGTTTAATCGCTACTTTATGGTTCACTCAACTCAGGGGTCGCCACTTGACCTATGCGATGTAAGGCCGGTCGTTTAATAGACAACCATTATTATGTCATCGCTTAATCTTTCCTCCTGTCTCACTGCTGCATCCTTAACATCTAACACGACCACCGTCTTTCCTTGACAAGTGTGGGATCTATCTACAATTGACTCTTAACTCTTTTTACACACTGCTCCACCTTTGCTATGCTACAGTTTTAATTATTGTAATTATTAGTGTGGCCATGCATTGAGAGGTTACAGGTTCTGTTTCACTACTCTCTCGCTTAGTTCAATTTTGACAATTTAATGCTACACTTCTGCAGCAATTCCATTGGATTTAGACATAGAAAGCAGGATTCTTTTTTTTTTTTTAAACCTCTGAGCATATTTTAATTCGGATATTAGAGGGGGGATTAGTTACTAAACCAACATTTGTTGAAATGGATTTCAGTCATCGTCATTTCATTAAGTAAGGCTCCTATTTGAACATCTGTATCTACAATGATAGTCCAGCTTAGTAAACTACTTATTGTGCAAAAAACAAGGTAGATGTGGGTAATATGATCTGTGTTTACATTCCACACTGAATGAAAATACCAGCACCTGCGCACTGCTGCAACATACGGTAGTGGTGCGTGGAATTAAACGCGGTATCAGTCACACGGTGCGGTTAGGAGTGGGTTTGCTAGAAGTAAACAACACGATAAAAAGGTCAGACATCTCACCATTGGACCCAGGTTAGGTTTCATGGAGGAAACCGACTCTATTAATAACCTGAGGACACTTCAATTCCTCTAGAAGGACACTTATTCTCCTCCAGTGTATTTTTTAAACAACCTCCTGATAAACATCTCTACCATCAACTCCACCATCTTCATCACTACTTACCGAAATCCAGAAACTGCTTTATAGAGAGTGGTGATGGAGAAAACTTGGAGTAATACTCGATCCTAGGGTTGGTGTTCTTCAGCAGAGACACGAAGATCCTCATTTTGACAGATGAATGTTAATGGTTGGTTCTAGCTGTGAGGAAGAGTCTCAGGAAGAAAATATGACCGATTCATTCCCGGGCAGTGTAGGCAGAGAGACAGAGGCAGCAGCAGTGTCCACATTTGTCCCCGGCCGCTGTCCTGCTCTGGACACCACACGACGTGTTAAATAAATGTCCATACGATTACATGTTACAATAGAGAAAATATGCTACCAGCCGGGGTTCCATCCACACTGGTAGACTTAAAGAGAAACTGCGCTCAAAGCTGTCGAGTCAGGGGGGATTAAAGAGTCACTTCCTCTGGTGCTTTTCAAAATATAAAACAGATGAGGACTAAACAGCCAGTTCCAAATAGTTGGGTTTTTTTTAACCATTTGAATTACACAGAGCAGATAGTTATTGACCCAACATTTCCGTACATACTTGCTTAATTTCATAAACAAAATGATTTAACGAATGTTAAAAGACAAGGTCAAAATAAAGTATCATATAAATCTCTTTGAACTTCAATTACTTTACATGTCCATGTACATGTATTACTTGTAGTAATACCTGGGAAACTTAACTGGAACCATAGTAGTTAATGAAATATCCATGGACATAAATATATGTAAATCTGTGCGGGTGGACTTGGTCTTAAGCCATAATATTTTAAACACAACACTTATAACAAACGAAATGTATCAAATATTTAAGAGAATGATAAAATGGGCTTGAAATTATATATAATATGACATAATTATACCTTCATTTAATTTCTAAAACAAAATGTTTTCTCACATAATAAATTCCTTTGAGGAAATTGTTTCCTTTTCCTCTCAACTGGGGTCAGTTTCCTTTAGAAATCTTAAAACTCAGATAACGTATGTTTGGGAACTTTGAAATGCATTCTAATTCATTTAAATGTATTATCTGAAACGTCCTCCAGTAAATGATATTTTACAACTAGACGAGGTTACTCACAATATGTACTCTTTGCGATAGTTAATTATTTCAAGACATATGATACATTAAAGAAAGAATCATTCAATATCAAGTCTGTAATAGCTCGCTTAACAAACGTGTGGAACACTTTGTATTTTGAGCCGTATCATCTCAACTTCCGGTCTTTCTGCGCTGCCTTGACGTTTTGTACGTTAGGAAACCTCTTCCTCAACCGCACTTGGGCTCTGTTTGGTTGCGCTACTATGATTGGTTCAAATACACGGAAGCGAACACAGGGGTCGACCCGATTGGACGATGGCTTGTTGTTTAATAATGTTTCCGTTGTATTGTTTACCTCCTCACTGTGGTGAACCGAACATTATATGACATGACTGACAATATGCGTTAGATGTTAAAAAACACACACACACACACACACACACAAATACAAAAAATAAGCAAATGTAACTTTGAACGTTAGCTCAAAACTAAGTACGGTAGACGCTAACCCCTCAAACAGTAGCCATTGCAATTTGATTATTTGATTTTCACTGCCATCTAGTGGCAGAACTGGAAATAGCTGCATTTCCAAAACGAAACGAGATTGTTGTGTGACTGTGGCATTGTCAAAAACTGAATGTGTTTGGGATCTGTTTCAGTTTATTAATATTAAGATAGATCTTCACTTTCATTCAAGCTGAAAATAATGCGTTCTTGAGAGCCCGCAGCGATTTGGTTGCTAAGTGTGTCAACAATGATTTATCCATGAATATAAAGTCCTGTCCGGCTTCGTGTGAGTGACTTGGACCTTTTAACAAGTAACAGCTTCATTTATTATTCATCTGACGTCAGATTTGACGTACACAAAGACAGCTGGACTTAATTCAGTTTTTATTACCTCACTTTACCTTTCATGCAGGAAAGCACTTCAGTTCTGTCTGACTGGTTTTAACTTCTGTTCTCAGCACTGACATCTTCAGTCCACTGTGACTCAATGACCTGCAGTGTTTTGCATAATGACTGTCTAGAGTCTAGACAGTTAATTAGCCAGATGTTAGTGCCCACTATTTCACACCACTTAGTCATTAATGAACATAACTCATGCATTAAAAAAAATACACATTTAAAAGGGAATCCCAGCACATCCAGTTTCCTACATTAACCTTTTCTGCCAAAAAAGATGCTACTTCTCTCCTAATGGACCAATACCGCTCCAAACCCCTGCCTTTGTTGAGCCACCTCACATTGTCATGCTGGGCCCTGAGACTACTTATTTTATGTGCTCTCACTTGAGACTTGAGTGAATACGTTTGTTCAAACAGTTTATGGTTTGTCTTATAATGGCGTTTCACATCTGCACTTTTAATAAGTGCTACGCTACACAACGCTTTACTTGTTTTTCTTTCTTTCGCTGTTTTTTTTTTCGTGTCTTGCCGATAACTCTCACCTGACTGCACTGCAACTTTTCAATGTTTACCGCCTAGAATGCATAGATTTGACTGGCTGAGTGGTATCACGTGGGATGGCTTAACTTGTATGGAATTGGCCTGTGCATTTATATATATTATATATATTTATTAAAATATTACATTTTTAATATTTTATTAGATTTTAATATTTTATCATTAATGTCTTATGCTTTGTGTTACTTTCTTCCAAAGAACCCACGTGACCAGAATTTCAGTCAAAAATCAACCGTTGTCGGTCTATGATCATCACATATCACTTTATTAATTTCATTTCAAATCTGATTTTATAATATTTGTTTATACATCTCAAAATCAAAAAATACGCACACACACAAAAAAATACACACGCACCAACACTTCTCATGCCGATTCAGGCATTGCCACCATCTTGGTATTTTCATTGTCGTCCACTTTTTCCACAGGTAAAGGGTCATACTGTCGTCGGTACAACAGCCGCGTTACCAGTGTGATGATGAACATCTCAAGGATCAGTAACTGCTGACTCAACACTTTGGGAAAGAAAACAACAAAGGGAATCAAAGATAAAGAGGAGTTTTTTTTAACTGGAGATCTAAATGCTGATGTTGACTCACTGTATCCTCTTGCTGCTGCAGAGAAAGGTGGGGCACAGGGAATGGTTCCATTTAAAGCCAAGATGTTGATGATAGCCGTCTGCAGCTGGCTCAGGATCAGTACTAGCTACACGCAACACACAAACAAATGTTGTTAAGACAACACGGATATCCTTTTCAAAAGTTTGCCCACCCTGAAATCTTAAGTGTGTAAAAGCGTACAGCCAGTTTTATAGAGTCGTTTTTTTTTTTATAGTTTTATAAAGTTAAAGTGTACCATTGAACCCCTGCATGAACTGCACAGCATGAGTAAACAACACTGTGTGTACATTTGTGACTCACTTGGTACATGGCATACTTGGGAACGATCTTAATAGTCCGTAGGGCAACTCTCAGATGCATAAACATGATGGCAACCGGCCACAGGGCTATAATGGTCAGGATGCCTACAAATGGGTTGATCCATATGGCAGCTCCAGTAATCTCCAACTGCAACGAGAAACAACAGATAGACTGCCAATGTTGAAGAAATAATAATAATAATAATAATAATAATAATAAATCTTATTAAAAGACAGGGGAGACAGAGGAAAAAATAATTAATAGATAATAAATACAAACAAAAATCCAATTCCACTGAGGGAGTGGTCGTGTTGACTCTGCTGCTGCTGTTAGCAAGTAAAATCTGGGAAAAAAAACTGTTGGGACACACTGGCAAGATACTTCTTTATTTCATTAAACATCTTCCATCTGCTACACTCACGTCAGCCAGGTCAAATGTGCCGTTGGTCCAGAGCACAATGGAAAGGATGGTGAAGACGATCTTCAGGAGAGCGAACTGGAAGGAGCCGAGTTTGAGCAGGAAGAGAGTTCGCCTGGAATCAGAAGAAAAGGTAAGGTTTATAGATTGTCCCTTGATCACGGTCCCCTACTGCACTTCATGGTCCATAAAACTTCATAATGGTCAGACCAATTGCCCTCGACATTTCCAGGATAACAACAGCAGGATGTTTTTGGCAGAAATCTTTAGTCACTAGTGGATGGGCCGTCAACGAATTGCATTCGTGAAACAATGCTGATGGGCCCTGTGGGGTCTATTACACATCCTCTGACCTGGCATTTCCCAACAGTTGATTCAAACTGGCGTGTCTAAGCTTTCATTATCAGAATTTACAGGAGATGCTGCAACAAGCCAGAACAGATGGCGGATATTTATTGAATCTACATTTTTTTTCAACAATCACACAGTCCAGGACTTGTCTGAGAGAATGGCACATTCTCCTGACTCTTTAAATAAGGTGGATTAGAAAAAGCACAGAATCTGTACGCAATTAGCAACGGACGATGCTATTTCTTTTCAGTTGTCAACCAATTTTTATGACCCATGCCACAAAGTATGTGGCACTTCCCCAGAACTTTCAAGGTTAGGTTTTAAGTCTTTCCAGTAACTTGCAGCCATTGTTAACACAATAGATTTGGACATTTGATTCCTGACACATTGAGACCTTGAGACATGATTAGGGCGGACCTGGGCCTTGTATGGCCTGCGGGCCACATCCGGCCCGCTGACTAACCAAGAACGATCGGCCACACGAGATTGAGAAACTTCTAACCATGACACCTACTATACTGTAATATATTTTGTATATACATATACATATACATATATAAATATGCACATATACGCACATATGTGTCATATTACACATTATATCAGATGTATCCATCTTTTCTACTAGCTCTACAAAGGACACATACTGTCTATTTTTTTATTTTATTTAAAAAAACGTATAGACTCACCGTGTAATGTGGACATACGGCAGACAGAGGCAGCAGCAGCAGCACGGCCCTGTGCTGATCTTCAGTTTGTGCTTCCCTGCCCGCTTTAGAAAGGCTTCATCACCACCGATCTCCTCCAGCATCAGGACCAAGAACTTGAAAACCACAATGGCAAAGTAACTAAGATGAGAAAAGAAAAGACAAGGAGACAAAGAGAGAGGAGAGAAAAACATTATTACCACACTGTTTGTTATCACTGCCTAAGCTGCTGGGCAAAAGTGTGAATGTTTTCCATAGAGCTGAGGCAGGTTAGAATGGTCTTTCACAGCGAGGCTCTGTTGGTGAGATAACACAACACGCTGAGAGATGAAAGGTGAGAAGAAGGAAAGCAAAGACGGTCAGACTCACCAGGCCGAGGTCATATCAGTAAACATGGTGGCTCTGGGGATCCACATGCCCAGACATGACATGGTAGCAATTACCTTTAAAAAAACCCCAAAAACAAACAACTAACAATCAGGAAACTCCACCAAACGCTAGTTCTGCTGATCTCATTTTTGTCCTTCAATCTTACCGGTGCGGCTCCATTCACCCAGATGATGACACTCTTCTTATTGGACGGCACTTTCCTGTAGATGTAGATACATTCCTCTATGTAGACCAGCACAGACACGGTGGCCATGAAGGTGAGAATGGAATACAGGATGATGCCAAAAATGTCCAAATCTGCAGAAAAGAATTACAGCTGACTGATTGTGGATTTATTAAGGCAAAAAAAGCATGCATTTTAAATTTAGGGTTTTAAATAAATCTTCAGACATCTCACTGCATTGTTCTGCTCAGTAAGGGGCAGAAACATTTCTCTACAGCAGCCCCACAGGATAAGATTGCACCATTTATATCGCTGTTTCAATAAACTATGTATCACTTATTCTAACTAAATTTGGGTTCTGTCACAATTTAGACAGCAAATAAAGTATTAAAAAATCTTTTTGTCAATGCAGAGAATAACAACTGCTGGGTCTAGTACACAAGACAGAACAGAGTTTGTAAAGAAATAACATTCTGTCTAGTGAGGAATTCAAACCCTGTTTTTAAGATGTGTCCTAAATACTGTGCTCATTCATGTTGACTCAAAAAAAACCAAAACTATTCTGTCAGCATTTTGACACGCAGCGCAGAAGATGATTTCACAAGGTATAAAACGTAAGATTTTTTTTTCATCATACAAACTGAACTAAACTTGGACAGACTTTAACCTTCCGTCTCGCCAGGACAAAGTCCACATCATGTCCAACTTGGATGATGTGCAAACAGAAAAACAGCAGACAGACATTGAACGTGACGGCTCTTGTGATAAAGTTTTTGGGGTTTTTTTTTCAATTATTGTATTCAAGTTTCCAAAAGTTTTCACCACAAAGTTGTCTTTGAACAAACACCAAATATGTTTCATGTTATTTCAATGTAATTTTGCAAATTTTATAAGCACCTCTAATCTATTTTCATGATTAAATATTTTTTAAATTCATAAGTAAAATTTAAAAAGTTACATTATTTGTGCATAGATAATTAGGTGGTGCAATGTAAGATGGGTAATTTAAAAAAATAAAATTTAAACTAATTGTCTGCATAAAATTAAAAAATAAATCACAAATTTAATAATCAAAGTGATCGCAATATGTACATTTCAAAATTAAAAGAAAAAATGTACTCACTAAAATATGGAGTTGCTAATACTAAATATTTCACTTTTATTAAACGAGTTTTTTATATGGTTAATTCAATGACATAAAACATTATAACAGTTAACGAAATTGTTATAATAAATTACATAATGTATTATGGCAATAAACAACACATTATTTATTGACTAAAAAGTCAATAACAAGGACTAGACTACACTACACTGGAGTGTAAAGATAATATTGAAACATTAGCGTCACAAGGAAATCTTTCAGGTTCTCGTTATCCAGGGAGAACATCTTATTTGGAGGACATAATTCTAATTCTCACCATCTGTGTATAATCTCACCGGGGGTAAATAAAATTCAGATGATTTACAGGAATTCCAGGAGATCAGAATCTAGTTTCATTTTAATCAGAACCAGGAACCTGGAGTCGTTTACCTCTCACTGTTATCACATCTCTTCATTTTACCAGAACTCTTTCTAACATTTACACCCGAACGCAGCTGAGATCATCGTGGTCTTTACTCACTGACAATGATGTCGATGGCCAGCGGAGGTTTGTCCCTGCAGCTCGGGTCAATGGTTCGGTTGGTTGCATTATTCATTGTGGCTGATTGTCGTCGTTGTTGATGTTCAGAAACTCCTCAGTTATCCCTCAAACTCGCGTACATCCACGGACGGTCGCTGCGTAAAGTGGCGCTGACTCCTCTCTCCCCTCCTCTCGTCTCTTCTCCTCTCCTCTCTTCTTCTCTCCAAAAATCCAAAAGGATCGTCATCGGTCTTTTCATGGAAAGATATCTTCCCGGACGGGGACCCCTTAGCTGTATTCCCTGGAACCACCCCCTACTCTGGGCAGTGTATAAGTCAGTGATGCAAACACGTGGTTTGTGGAACAGGAAAAAAAGTCTACGGCGTCACGCTGTTCAGGTATTCCACGGTCAGAGCACTAACAATAAATGTATAATGTACACAAGTAACTTTAAAAATGTCGTCATATATTCTGAAAGTCAAGTGCGCACAATTATTCAGTTGTTTTTCTTTTATTACAACTGTGTAAAAATGTGTCGGTTATCTGTACATGTACAGACAACAGGCACAGTAACAGACATGGTTAACAATTAGTACTTAGTTGCTGCTGTTTGTAACTCTGACGTTACAAAACAAATTTGTATGGGTATCGTTTGAGCTTTGGCCATTGACATGCTCAAAATAATATAACACATGCTTTGCAACATGAATAAACTTTTTTGGACACACAACAGTGCATGTTAAAGTAAAATGTACCCTTGTTCGTGATAAAGGAACTTAAGTTGGAACCAGCTACTGTATGTGGATTGAAAAGAAGCCAAGATAATTAATAAGAAGAAATAATTGAAGAGTTTCATTGGGAGTTCAGAATCAGAAAAGTTGCTCAGCGTTGTGCTATCTGTGTGCCTTTGTAAGTGTTTTGGTGAGGAGGAGGGCATTGACTGGTTGAGAGTGTGGACAAAGCAGCCACTCACATCACATGCTCCCTGTTCCCTTAGCAACGTGTGCAGGGCTGTCGTCATGTGAGGCATTTGCTGCAAATCTTTTTACACTCCTTACACCCCGTGGATGTTTTTCCTGACATTACTATGTACACTGTGTACAGTGATGATGCTTACATTTACCAATATTAAGGAATTAGCTGAACAGAAGAAGACGTCAGGGTGGTACTCCAACTAATAGGGGTGAATTATTAGTAGTCATGAAGGTGGGAAGGAAAAACGATCAAGTGGGTATGGAGGTACACATAAGGTACTGTAATAATAGCTATCCAGTAGGTACTGCAGTTATGTTAGTATGTAGGCTTCAAGGTTGGAGGTTGGAGTAGCAGGAAATAGATTGAAGGTAGGAAATGATTGGTAAGTCGTTGGTTGGACAGATAGACAGTGGGGCAACATCACTGGTGTGGTACGTGGAGGTCATTTAATCAGCATGTGGGTGAGTAATGTAGGTAGACACAAGGTAGTAAACAGATAGTATGTGGTATCAGCAGCAATCAATGTCTGTAATTGGTTAGATAGAACAACCTTCCTAGGAAATACAAAAGTTTTTATCTTTTTTCAGGTACTGTATGTGTAAGGGTTCAGGGAAATGATGGGTAAAATACCCTTCATATAATACTATAACCATTTACTCTGTTGCTCTGTATTTAAAAGTACAAGAGAGGTCACTATTTGACACAAAGGAATCCAAAGGCTGCCAAACAGTGTTACAAAAGTGCACACTCAGACAGATGTCATGTTTAGTGAGGTCATATTACCAGTGAATAAGTTCAATCAAGTCTGAGCAGTGAGCTAGAACTTGCGTCAAACCACACCTTGGTTCATAACAACTATTCCAGTGCCTACAGGCACATGTACCGACACAGCAGTGTTCATACAATTGTTTGGGTGAAGTTCATTTACAGCCCTATTATTGCTTAGAACACATAATCTAATTTTTCTAAGTCAATTTGGTTAGTGAGGTATTCCGATTGTAGTTCTTATTTTTTCCATGAGAGTACAATGGTGGTAATGTGATTTTAACAGCAGGCATTGCTATGGAGTTGTGTTTCCTCTGTCCAAAGTCTTCCTTGACACCGTGGCTGTTTTAGCCCTGGGTAGGTACGACATGTGGTTTTTTAACCGTTCACTGTTTACCCTCCTTGAAAACCCTGACACCGAGGTCATTGACTGGGCAGTTTCCCTTTTAAACACACACACACACACACACACAAATCTCTACCAACCCTTTTAATCAGCAAGATGCCCGTCTCCGCAAACATAATGAACTGTACCAACAGAACCCAAGCTGTCGTATGAAACAAAACGAAAGAATTAATTGACAGGGGAGTTGACCACAGCTGTAGCAGCAGAAGTCAAGGACCTGAGTGTCAGATAGATACAGCAGAGGTCAGGCTTCAGCGATGGTTCTTAAATGTAAATCCAGAAAGGTTGTTGACTCGTTCCAAACATTCAAGGCCCATGGCCTGTCTGGTGTCTCTGTTGGCAGAGCTTATCGTAAAGTAATTTTGTGTTTACTGGCCAAAGTGGTGTTGTGCTACTATCACCTTTCTGACAACTATACAATAAATAAAGTGAATCCATGATAATTTGTAACTTTATTTTCAGGGTCTGGTTAATGTCTGAAGTTTTTCACCATGTTAATTGCTAATGATGAGTCACCATGCACAGAACAAACACTGGGTTTATCTTACACCACGTGAGGTGTTCATTACAGCACAGCTGGAACACTGGTGTATTAATGTTGGGTCAGATTCCGCTGTTTACCTTTTAATCCACTCAGAACAGCTCTTACCTTTTTGGTAAGTTCCTTTTATACAAGGAATCTATTCAAGTAGTGACCTGTCGGCCAACACAGACCCAAAAACGTTTTGTGTGGACTGCTGAGCATTGAGAAACAACTGAGAAACAACTTACATGTTCCCAAACGTGGTACCTTGTCAGATAAAGTAATAAGAAACATGTAAAAAATAACCGTCCTGTTATTCTAACTGTGTTACATGTGTTTTAAACACAAGGTCCCATCGTTTAGTTAGAGAAGAATGCTGCTGAAGATATGTAAAAGAAAACATTTGATTCTGCAGATCCTTAGTTTTAAAAATTAGATTCACCAGAGAAATAAAGTTTAGAAGCATAACCCATAAAGTTCAAAAATATATCATAAAAGTGATGCCTGCAGGAGTAGAAATGAGGTTTAAAAAACATTTATTGTTATTTCCACATTACTTGTGTAGAGGCATGAACTTCATTCACAAAATATGAACAGTAAAATTAATCAGACAAGAAAATATATGTAGTCTTTTTTTCTTACATTATCAATGTATATACACACATTGTAAAATAGTAACAAAAATAACAGCAAAATAAAGAGGATAATACAGCTGAAAAGCACAAGCAGCTACATCTGCACGGTGTTGGACACAGATGCAAAGTGAATTTGTGATTAGACTGAAATTATTCAGATCTTTCCTCCAACGTCACAGGAGTTTTTATGGCTTCATTTCAGAGTTAGACAATGCAAAATAAAGCTAAATTAAAACATGTCACCACTGGTACTAGTTGGAGAAAATCCTCTGTGTAACCACTGTAATCCCCAGTATTTGTTAAAATACTTCTTTTGAGCATTAGTCAGGGTGTATGTTTGCACAGAAAAAGTAAAAATCTCATGGCTGAAAAGAAGCATTTTGCTCAAGACAATAGTATTACAAAAAAAACAACAACATTTAAGTAAGCAATATAAAACACACATGCACACGCACACACACACACTTCAGTCTCAAGGTGAAAAAGCTCAGAGGCAGACCATTAGAGAAAATATGAAGACATCAACTTTTCAGACTTTAGAGACAGTGGGTTTGAAGCTAAACTGATGTGATGAAAACTTAATCTTCACTGGGATTGTGATCTCCATCAGCAACTTCATTTGCTAATCTCAGATCACACGCCTCAGTGTACTTGGACACCACGTTGTTACCATCCACACCATAACAATTATCCTCCAATCATGTTCTGTGCAAAGAGTAGTTACAAATACACTTGGGCTCACATGGTCAGCCATGATTGGAAGGATAAAATGTAAACATAAAGTCCAGAGAGGGAGCTGTTCTTTGTGATGCTCCGTTACTGTCCCAACAACGGCACATACAGCACTATTAACAATCACAAACTACCAAGAATGACACTGCACAACACCATTAACTCAGTCCACATCAGAGACACAGCTGTAAACTCATACATCACCAGAGGCAGATTGTATCTAGTTAGTCGGAGGCTCCACCAGCACTTACAAGAAAGGACATACAGATAAATGTGTCTCTTGCACATAAATAACAAAATACCTCAGTTAGATGGACACAGATCACATTATAAAAACAATTCAATTTGCAGAGAAAACGAGCCACGCAGATCCACACGAGGTGGAATATTATCTAATCATATTTGGGTGCATTTTAAAAGATTCTGCCAACATATGAGTCACATCAACACTGACTGACCAGGACTTAAGATCATTCATTATTATTGTATGTCCAGAACAAGCAAAATCTGGATGATTTGCTTCAGTAAAGAAACAAGTGACACATGTTGAAAATGATTTGCTGAAGGCAAATTCGACTGAACTGAGTCTGATGTTGTAACACGAAACACTTCCAACCAAAGCAGAAGTGAGTTTTGCTGCCATCTGCCAGCCAGCGTGGGTATTGCAAAGACATCAGGACCCAGACGCAGAAAGGCAGGTAGGACAGACCGAGATTGTGTAAAAAAATACTGTGCCACAGCTGCTGGTAAATCGGCTTTTGGATGACATTGGTCAGTGTAGAGACGGTAAAGCTTGGATGTTGTAAACACTTTGAAAGTCAGAGCTTCTGACAGGTCAGCCCTTTGTTTGGCAATGAGTTTAGTCTTAGTAGAAGTTGATGCGCTGAGTGGTGTGGGAGAATGTGGGCCTGTAAAAAGGATGAGCTAAGCGTTATTGGTGATCACAAGTGAAGGATGCTGCACCCCGTCTGTGTGAAGTGTTCAGACTGTACTGTATAAGCAGCATGTTTACATCAAAACACTTAAAGCTGATTCTTTAATTTCTGTTAATAAAAAAAAGAGTGCCACACAAACACACGCGCACATATTCACACACATACACCTGCACAAAATTTGTCACATCGATTCATCTCTGTTACCTGGGATGCAACGCAGCACATTGTTTGTTGGATATTCATGATCTACAAAGTGCAAATGCGCCATCTTGTGGTCTGATGTCTAAAAAAAAAAAATCCACCTCATCCAGCTACAGCTTCCTCTGCTCAGCTCAGTCAACGCCACCGAGTCATCCGTAATACGGTCCATTTTGATGAAAAGAAAAAACAACTGCCACCAAAAGGTGCAGAACGCATCATTTCTCCAGGATTTCTGAGATGAAAAAGTAAACAAGGTAAATTGATCTACGTCCTCTCTAATAACACACTGAAGAAAAAAAGTTCCAGTTCCAGCTCATCCATCAATCTTCACTTCGGTTTTGTGCATTTAAACAAGAGTCTTGATGCATCAACACAAATCTTTGTGCATTTTGGCACAAAAGGTTTTCTCAATACAACACCAAAAGAAGCTCCTACTTCCTCCAGAATACATTAGTTTTCTAAATAAAGGCTCCAGCTGTGAGAAATTGAGGGAAAAGCTGAGTGTGTGAGTTAACGTGTGTGTGTTGATGTTAGAGGAAAACAGCCTTGTGTTTTTATGTCCTTTGAGGGTCTGTGCAAGATTTGCGTGTGACACTGCATGCGATAATGGCATTCGCAGAACGAACACATTTTCACAGACGTTCTGAATGTGTGTCTCTGGGGATGAGGTTGCAAGGGAGATGGTTGTCATGGTGACAAACTAAACGGCTGCGTTGCTTAAGGCATCGTTTTTGATGACTGAGGATATTATTCCTGTGGCAGAGACAGAAGAGAAAAAAAAAAACAGAAATATGGAGTTCCTGAAGGTTACAAAGTTTATACCCAACATCAACATAAATGTGTAGTTCAGTTACAAGTCATGAAAGCAATTAAAATCTTCATCCACATCAGCAGACTCACTGAAACCTACCTGGTTAGGACTCACTCTCCATGGAGACTGTAATGGTTTCATTTTCATCTAGACATAAAAACAGACGATGATGAGACTTTTATTTTGCAAAAAATACACAACATGAAAAGATTTATACTACAAATAATCCCTAATAATCAGTTCTGCTGATGAAAAAACCCCAGATGTACACTGGTTTCACTGTTTATGAAGAAATCAAACATTGGGCTCACATATGAGCTCATCTGATTGGATGAATGAGTAGCCTGTTATATTGAATATCCACTTGTATTTGGCAGAACATTTACATTTTGTTGTCTATTTTTTCTAAATGCCATTGTGCTGTATACAACCATCACTTTTTGGTGATGGGACATGCTATTTTAATTTTTTTACATTTATTCAGACATGAAAAAAATATAAAAAACAGGCCACTACGCTATCTCACCAGATTTGAATGTGCTGTTAGTCAGATGGTCTGTGATGACGTTGTCATGCTGGTCATTGCTCAGGAGGCGATTCTGTGAGTCGTTGAGTAGACTCACTGGGGCTTCAGCAGCACTGGAAATATGACAAAAAAATGTTAAAAATATATTTTAAAAATATTTAAATTTTTTTTGGTAACATTAAATTGACACCAAGACTGATCACCTTTTATTGGGCTCTGCATGAAGGGTAACTGTGCCCTGCTCTGGGTCAGCATTAACCAGCTTTGTGGGAAATGTCAGACCATCTCCCTGGCTGTAAACAAAGTTGAAAGTCAGTACTAGGTTCAGTAAAACAACAGGTTTCAAAAAAATAAAAAAATAAAAAATACTGTGCTACAAAATAAAGTGAAATATTTTTACCTGGTGAAAACAGGTAACAGCCAGTACTTCTTCTGATCTCCAAAGACTTGTGCGATATTTTTCCGGAAACCCAGAGAGAAGCCGTTCTTATCAGAGCCTGTTCTGAAGACTGGTGCTCTGAAAGCCTCTGGAAATAGGAGCAACGGGAAGGTGACAACAATGGACATAGATTGTAAAACCAGCTGCAATTTCAAACTGACAATAGACATGCAATGTAAAAAAATATTTGAAACCTTTTGTCAACACCCCTCATCCACTCCACCTCCCCCCCAAAAAATTAAGCTGTTAGGACTTCAAGAATCTGTGGTGAAAAAAAAGTTGTTTGTGGTTGTGTTTGTTACCTATGGTCGACCTGTTTTTTCCTACAAGCCACAGGTGGTAGCTGAAGAGGGACAGGATGCTGATACAGAACATGGCCGCCACAAAAAAAAGAAACAAGACATGGAATTTGGCGTGAGTGTGCAGCTCATTCTGGAGAAGAGACAGAGAGCAAGAGAAAAATCAATAACACATTCACACTGCGGATTTTTTAACAGAGAGGAAGAAAAAGAGAGGGAGAGGGAAGGAGAGGGAGACAAAGAGGGAGAGGGAGAGGGAGAGAGAGAGAGACTGGGTAAAAGTAGAAGACCAAATGAACAGTCATGTGATCCACATCACTAAATGCACATCACATCACAATACCCCGTGGCCCTAATGGAGATGCAGTGCAACACTAAAGGCTTTGGAGGACGACTTGGTGTTACCTTTGGACAGTTCTCTGCCGATTTCCTCCGGCAAAGCTTTAGTAACAAACAGAAACAAGACTGGTTAGCGACAGCAGGTGAGAACAAGCGGGAGAGCAGAGGGGAAAATAAAGCTGCTTTCAGATGACATTGAGTTTGAAGCAGACATTGGAGATTACTTGGTTTATGGTGACCGTATATGTTCACTCTCTGGCCAACATCTCAGTGAAAACGCAGCAGCAGAAATTTTGAAGAATGCAGAACAGCTGGTGGCGTAAAAGTCTCTGGACAAGACACTAAGCTACAGTATGTTGGTTATATATTTTACATGAACACTGAACTCTTTATACTGCCTGGACCAGAGCATCTGAACATGAACCGTAGACCATCTGAAAACAGCTTTAGAAATCAGGAGGTACATACAAGTCAAAAGACCAGAGGAGGAGAGGAGTGAAAAGGAGTGGGCGACAGCAGTGAAGGCTGCAAGAGAGAAAGAACTGGGATGAAAGCAGTAGAGATAAGAAGAAAGTGATGTGAGCCAGCTGCAAAAGTAGCAAAAGAAAAAAAGAATAACACAGGAGGGGTTTGAATGAGTGGTGTGACCGACTGATGGTTCTGAACGTGGAGAGGCCGAGAGAAAAGACAAGAGCAGAGAGAACAATGACCCAGTGTCCAACCACCGGGGATAACAGAAGGGAAAACAGAGAAGGGTCAGAAAGTGAAGGTCTGGAGAGGACAGAGAAAACAAGAGGGGAGACAGAGCTGAGCACAGGAGAGATCAGCACCATGCACAACCCACTCAGATCATTGTCAACCTGGCCTCCGCATGCAGCCAGCTCTACTTCCTCCGTGACCTTACAGAGACACTCAAACTTAGAAAGAAACTGTTACTCTGTGTTCAGCGGCACCCACACTGTGTGCATGACAAATCACAGCTTTATTAAGTTACGTCAGCAGCCCAGAGCACCTACAGAATATAACGGAAGTGAGACTTATGTCATGATTTTACAAACTCCCGTGAGGAAAAATACAGGATATATTCTGTCAATGTCACAAAAGTCAAGTGTGCATATTTAAAGCTGGCCTCCTCAGACTATTAATTCATAAAACTTTGCACCATTGCCACTCTCTATAATTAGTAATCCATTATCATTTTATTTATTTTTCATTCTCAGTCATAAACACACAAAAGATTGTAGTCATATTTAGGAAAGTAGATTAATCCAAATTTACCTTGTGTATTAATAATATTGTAATCAGATTTAACAGTACTGAAGGAGTGCATCTTATCCACAGTGTGACTTTGTCTGCCACAAACCAGGAAACAGCGTGAAGTTGCCTTCAGCATTGTGAAAATTCCACAAGTGATCGATAGTAAAACACAAGTGATAGCCGCATGTTCACTTCATGCCAAAAAAAAGTGCAGATTTTTAATTGTTTGTGCGATGCAACTCACTGTCCAGAACTTGATGAAATACTGGAGCACGGTGGCAGCAATGAACAAACAGTACAGCAGTGAGTAGGCCAGGAAGAGGATGAAGAACTTGTAGTTGGAAAAGCCCACACAGTTGTTCACCCTGCAAAAACACACATGTCACACATCACCAACTTAGAGTGAAAAAATTTGAGTCTTTCTAAATTTAAATTTCAAAATACAGCCCACAGGATTGTGGCACTGGTTTCTCTTGTTAATTAAAGACTAAACAGTCAAGTGTAAAAACCGTTTCAGGCAGTAGGAGCGGGACAAGACTGACACCGCAGTCAAACAAGTTAACTTATAACTTGCGTAATAAGCAAAAGACTATTATGGGGTTTAATATCAGTGATAACATTAGTTTTACATACCAGGGACAATGGTGGTCCATTTTTAACACACACCTGCCACACAAGGGAAAGACAGCAGAAATATTGCACGTGTGAGGAACAAGAATTTAAAAGAAGAATTTTCCTTTTTTTTAGTGAGTCTTACATGTCACATGCCGAGCAGTGATGACATCGGTCTGGCTTGATAACTTGACAGCGGTCACAGTAACGGATTGCTGCTCACATGAGAACAACAGCATGCCATTAATTCAGACAGCAGCAACGACAGACAGAAAGAAAGAGATAGAGAGAGAGAAAGAGAGAGAGACAAACAGACAGACTAAACCCATCTCACTGAAACATCATGTTCGACACAGGACGTACCTCCAGCGCCTGTTCGAGTGTAGAGAGGCAGACTGCTGGCTGCTCTCCAGAGGATCTCCTGCTGAGACTCTGGCCTTTCCTCTTTCTCATAACGTTCCTTCTCACATTTGGGAAGGCAAAACTACAGTAATGAAAGCAGGATGACAAAGTTTATTTTTAAAACGTAAATTCATCACGCCGACTTCATAACAAAAGGTGGGAGTTAGAGATATATTGGATTTGATATGATTTGTACAACTGAGTTGTCCTACCTCTTTGGATGGGTTGGCAGGTTTAGTGAAGATGGTCTTCCAGTAAGACCATACAAACATGATGAAAAAGAGGTGGAAGAAGATCAGGTAGACAACTGGTGGGGAATAAAATATGCATTAGGGGAACATAGAACATTCACAATCCAGGACCAATGCACATCCATGGTGCAATGTACGCAGTAACATTCACCACAGCAAATATATACCGATGGTTGGGAAAAGTAACAGAAACATTGCTTCCTGAGTGCACAACAAAATGACAGTAATGACATTTATTTAAAGTTACAGAACAACTGGAGTTGAATGAGGAGAAACTGCTCTCCTTGGAGCATTTAAAAACCAGACTGGACCAATAACAAATTTGTTATTTACCTGCTTTTGCCAGGGATATTGGCTCTCCTATACTGATGGTGACTGTAAGAGAATTGACAGAAAAACAAAGATGTTTACAGTCATCTTGCCATTACAAGAAATAAAACCTGGTTCTTAATTTTGTCCACAGTTAAACCTCCATGCTGTTCATCAAAATCACAAGTCACGCACAATTTCAAACTTAAACCTGGCTGAGAGAAATATGGTGGTATTAACAGACACTTTTAGTGTCTTAAACACTGTAATCAACAATGGTCAACAACATGAATACTGAAATATTTATCTGAATAGCAGACACCTCCCTGTGATGAAACATCAGACAGACCTTTGTGCTACTCATACGAATGAAAGGGAAATGCCTTCAATGCAGACAAATCACAGCATTTAACAGAATATTCTCCTGTTATGTTAAATATACAGTGGATTTTGCACATCTCTGCCGACAGCGGATCGCATCAATAAAATCGTTCATTGGCAAACTACCTTTGATCACTGTTGCTGACATCTTTCCCACAGATTTAGGTCAAGATTTCATTTCAGTTGCAACATGTTTCTGTGACTGAGGCTCCTTCAAACTGAGCCCCAACAATAAACAAAGAGCCCTTTTTAAAGTGTGCTAAGACTTCATCCAAGCATCTACATACAGGAGCTAAATCAACAGTGTTTACTAATTAATTTCATACTGGGTTTGATTAACTACAGTGCAATACTTCCAATAACATATTTGCAAGTTTACTTTAAGGCTAAGAATTTGTGACAAGGGTTGGACGACTGGTTTTAATGAGCACATCATAGCTTTTTGGTCCTTGACAGAAATGGTTGTTGTCTGACAGTGTGCTATAAAACCTGGACAAAACAAACCAATGTCATTTGTAAAAGTAAAAAAAAACAAAAAAAAACTAGAAGTGATCAGCTATTGTTTTCATAGTAATACAGGTAATACTGGTGCATATGCTAACATTTGGTGAATTTAGCCAGATTTAGCCAGACTTGTAGACACTGCGGTCAAACACATGGTTTCTATCTAACCCTCAGTCAGGCTTTGATACCCCCCCCCACTAATCTGGAATATTTTATTAAAAGTGACATATATAAAACTTCACATATTACCTAGTTAGTCTGTTTTGGCAACTGAAGTTGATAGTGAAGAGCAACGTTAGAATATTTTAATTACACATCAAAAATACCATTACAACAGTTAAGGGGGGCACGCTTTTGCTCAATTTCAGATTCTACACATTCAATTCTCTCCTCACATATCTTTTTTTGTTTACTTATTGTAAAATGTTTTATTTATTTCAAGTTTGCTTCCCCCTTCTCTATCTCGTTTTATGAGTTTCCCCCGATCCCTTAAATACATGCAGTTACTCTTAACCACACCGCTCATTTAAATGTCACATACGTCGTAGTCTGTTTAATGTTTAACAAATACAAATTCCAAAACAGTAAGATTTCTTGGCAAATTTGCTGTTCACTGAGCTAACTCTCTACGCGATTTATTGTCTTTTATCGAGATGGTTTTATCTGTCCAGGTGGACTCAGCCTGTGAGACAGAGAGAGGAATGAGAGACAGACAGAAGCCGGGCAGCGATATCAACACCATAGTTAAAGTTTTTCTTTTCCAGGAACCAGGAACACAATTTCACATTACAGTAAGCCAACCCAAAGCGTTGACACCGACTGACAGTAAGCTGTATATACATTAGGTTGAGCTGCAGTCTCTTTACTTCCGTCTGCCCAGCAGCGGCTGCATGTTTGTGTAGAGACTGAGCACAATGGAAAGAGACAGCGATCAAAATACAGGCTGTACAGCGGCAGGGAAGAACTTTAGAGATCATACTTACGTATACACAGCTCCACCACGTATGCGTAGTAGGACCAGCAGACGACCAGGGCGATGAAAATTACAGGTATCCATGCTAAGCCCCGTTGACAGCATCTCAGTACGTGCGTGGGCGCCATCTTTCTCTACTGGGGGAAAAGGGAGTGTCGCTATGTGACGTCACTTAAGCAAAGGAGACCGACGGCGGAATCAGATTGGCACGCGTTCATGGACTCTAATAATGTGACTTTCTGACAATTCTGATTCACAAATACATATCAAAATTAATTTTAAACGTCCTGCTAAAGGTTTCTATTGTTAAACACAACGGAGTCTAATTGTAATTCAAGCAAAAGTTTGCTCAGCCTCTGTTGCAAAAACACTGTTAATTTACAAACAAACTTTGCTGTGTGGTTGCAAAATACACAATTTGACCAGCACTAATTAGACATCCATGTTTACATTATTTAAAAGAACTAAGAACAAAAACTCTTGAGTTAAAGTTAACCTAAATTGCATAATGTAAGAATTTACAACTTCCCTTCTATACATCCATTTCTTTTATTTGTTATTCTGAACTTCAACTATGTGATGAATATAAGAAGACAGGCAAATAAAATGTCATAGTTTGAAAAGATAAATATATAAATTCTGAAAAAATGGTGATGTTATGTACAGAAAATGTGAAGTTTAAGTGGTCACATAGTGGTATAAATGATTGCCTTACAACTGAAAGGTCACCAACTAGGCCAATGTCAGATGTGTACATGATTCAGTAAATTGAGAATCTCTGAACTGACAAGGTGTGAACGATTGTCTAGTGGTGTCTGACTGATGACCTTTCTGGTGTGTGCTTAACCTTTTGCCCAGTGTAAACCAGGTTTGACTTCAGCTCTCCATTAATCCTTTAACAGAAAAAATAATAATTACAGACAACTGGACACAAAATGTCAAAACAAAATGTTCAAACCTTTTTAAACTTTAATTCAGTTAATCCATTGGAACATGGGTATTTCGACAAAAAAATTGTAGGTACATTTAAAGGTTATCTTACCAATATTTGTGTGAAAAGTGAACTATGAAATTACCCATTATAAAATGGAATACTTCTGATGCTACAAAATAAGTCCTGTTCAAATGTAGACTGCACAAATTCTTTAGCAATACCTTCATGACCACCAGGTGTCTTATTCCTGTTCTCTGCGGTTTTATGGCAGTTGTCATTTTGTGGCATGTCTGCCATAAGATGTAAACTTTTCAGTGGGACGATGAGAACCAGAGTGTTCTAAAATAAATAAACACCATCATAAATGCTCCTTAGGTCTGGGAAGCCATGGCATACAGTTTGTGATCACCATACTTCTTTTTCCATTTTGTGAAATGATTTTTGGTACATTTAGAAATCCTTGTAAAGACCTTAACATGACAAATCCTTTCATCTTTACTTGCTGTGTTGGAGGAGGAAAATTATCTGCCTTTGATCACGACGCCACAGCGGCCACCAGTAAAAACAAAAGCATACATGAAAATTTTTCAGTTTGATTTAATAAATTATACATACACTTTTAAGATGTACAATGGTCATCGCATTAATCCCTATTTTTCTCTCTTCTTTTGGTAAGACAAAGTCTGCGTTCAAAGTATTTACACATGTACAATTATCAGGCAGCACTTTACAAAGCAAGGCATGAACAATAACAGATGTTGGGCTTTGAATGAAATCCCAATAATCTTCACTTCCAGTCTCTCCATTACAGAGGGAATTCTTCTCACGGCTGTACCATGATTATAACATGATTTCCCCTTCAACACATGAGAGGGAATTTAAGAAACAGTGAACGACATACATTTACATCCATGGGAGATTTGCAAAGATTCCATTTGTTGAAAAAAAAAAAAATCAAAAGAAAATCAGGGCAAGGTGTACACGAAGTAACAGAAACTGTTGATGTGACTGGTGACACAAAAGTCTACTCTGGGACAGAACTGGGGGCGGGGCTAGAGCCAGCTCTTCCAGCTTTTCGTTCGTAGTTGACAAGTCTTTGGCCCACAAGGTACCTGTAAAAACCCAGATCAGGTAATGTAAGAACACCAGATTGTCAGTCCAAATGTTGAAAGTGAAACAAAAAAACCCCAACCTTACTTGTCATTTTTAATATGCTCATAAAGCCGTTTAAACTGTCGGATCTGGAAGGACAGAATTCCAATGAGAGAGACTACCATCAAGAGGAATGGATAAATCCTCCTCTGCATTAGAATTTCCATCTCTGGGGTCACTCCTGCAAAAAACAAACAAACAAATAAAACAAAACACACATGCACAAACTAAAATTAATAAAGTGTGAAATGGATTTAAAGTAACAAAATATGTTTCTATGTAATGTAAATATACTTTGTGTATATTTACTCACCCACAGCTGGCACCACTCCAGCAGCGATTACATACGGAACACACAAAGACAACAGCAGGACTGAAATGACTGGAGCTGCCAGTTTACGGATGATGAATTGGAGGTCGATGTTGCGAATCCCATTAGCATAGACCTGTAAAAGGAAAGTTTGTGCTTGTTATAATGTTATTCACAAACTGCAAATGGCTAAAACTAAGTAAAAAACTACTTATACATTTTAAGCAATATTTGAAAGGACAAAATAAGGAATTATTAACCACTAATGGTTGAGTTTTCATTTGGTTAATCTCATAACTATTTTAGTAAATCATTAGCATAGAAAAGTACCTGTTCAATAACAGTCTTCAGCCACCACTGGGGACCCATGAGAGTGATGGCAGCGATGATTTTGGCATGAAGAACACCAAGGGCCCAGTCCTGAGTGTCACCAACATTCATTGATAAACAAATGTAAAAGAACAGGAATAAGAAGATATTAATAATTCTTACAAAAACATATAAAAGGCATATGTCAGAGAAACACTCATACCTGCCAGGGGTAGAAGAGGGGTGTTTGGTCCAGGGGTACCCTGAGTGGAGCTACGATTACCAGCTCAAACAGTAGACCCAACAGCAGTGGGATCACTCCAGCAACCAGCAGAGCTACAACCAACGTCTTCAGGATCTGCAACAGTAACAAGTGAAATGATGAGGAGAAATTTGGTATCTGAAACGTGTGCCAAGTGATATCTGGTTAATAGGTTAAATCAACCTGAAACTTACCATTAGGGTCCACTCCTGAACTTTGTTTAGAATGACTCTGCGACCCTGTGGCATCCAGGCCAACAGCACAGTGACCCCACGAATAGACAGCCAGCAGACATACAGGCCACATGCTGCTGTGTACAGCTCATGGATTTTTGAGTTTCCTGTCCAAAAGGACATAAGCCAGCGGCCGGTAAACACTGAAACAAACATGGCAGGACAGAAAGCAAGAGTTTAATTTTCCTCTTTATTTCACAGACATCTAAAATAATGTGAATTTGAATTCCTTGTTCATGTCAAATTCTTTTATGTCAGTGTCAACATGTGCTTCTAACACAGACTGTATATATGATCTTTTCAAAGCAAACTCAGTCTAAATAGTGTCATGTTTCATCCAACTTTTACATAATTAAAGTGAGACAGTTGTCATAACTGTGTGCCAGTGTACAGTGTAAAAACATGTCTAACCTGGTAAAGTGAGACACACCAGACTGGCGACCAGCAGAGTGATGCACATGAACGCTATCAGCAGCACAATCTGGAGAAAAGAAGAAGGATGAAGGTATAAGAACACAATGAAAACTTGATAATCTTATGTGATATCCGATCTGAGTTTAGTTCATATAATCTGCCTCTTTTTAATTATATAGATGTTTTTAGACAAAGTGTTGGAGTTGTGGACATGCGCCACATACATCATAATGTAAATAAAGCTGAAGGTTTCTAACATCACAGGCAGTGGTAGACTAACTGGGCTGAGCTGTGTGGTCTTGGGCGTTGGCATGTTTCTAAATTTGGAAAAACCACGTAAAAACCATGTAAAAAGTAGCAATCTTTTTTTCTTATGGAGAATTCCAGGAAATGTCAAAACATTTTCAAATTATAAACAATGAAAAAAGTCATTCAAATAATCACAGCCCCATTTGTTATCCCTAAGGTCTGTTACATTCTAAGAACTTCTTTAACTCTAAATTAGAATGTAGCCCATTCTTAGCAACTTCAGTAAAACATGCACTTGCAGGAAACTCTACTGATGCTAATTATAGCTTTTTAACACTCTTCTGAAAACTGACCTGCTTTGGGTACCATTTTGTAACTTGAGTATTTCTCAGCCTATATTAATCCTGCCTGTAAAAATATAACGGTTCAGGATTCAACTGCCTGTAAATTTGGTATATTTATTGTAAAGCTAACTGTAACTCACCGACACAGTCTAATAGAACCATTATGTTTTTTCTACAGCCCAAAAACAAAATAAGTTTTCTGTGAATTGATTTGTTTGTAGCAGCTGCCTACAATATGACCGTTAATGACCATTCTGCTGTTGTTGTTTCTGGCCTTGATAAATTTGCACAACCAACCAATTTAGTATGTTGAGCACAAAACCCCCCCAAAACATTCAGTGTCATGGTGTGCACAAAAGCAAGTTGGCAAATTCTGACTAAATCTTTTTCAATAGGTTAAAGGAAATGTATAAATGACAACGGTGATCTTGTTCCTTGCTACCAGTTAATTGCTAATGGTGGAACATTGATGTAACCAGTATTACATTCATAACAGTCTTTTTGCCATCAGCTTCACATGAAAAATTCTTGAAAACATCAACAATTTTTAATCCCAGTCAGATGTGTGGTAAAATTATTTCAAAATTATTTTCTAAACATTTTTTTTCAGTTTTAGGAAATTACACCAATTAATTCAATAGCAAAATATGTTTTGTATAGTCCATGTCTCACCCTGAATGGAAAGCGAAGGGGTCGGTGGTAAGGTTGAAAACCCACTGGCCCTCCTTGCTGAAGAATGGCCTGATGGGCTGCATGAAGCCCCTCCCCAACAGCTGGAGCAGGGTTGTTGTTGTTGTTATGGTGTCCAGGGGGAGGGTTATTGTTGTTATTATTGTTCACAGGCTGGTTTGTATCGTTGTCCTCCTGTTCTCCGAGGAGGTAGGAGTGAAGGTCACTTTTAAGACAAAGAAAAAGGATTATCAGTTTCTTACAGCCACTGTAGAAGAATACTAGAAGTCATTTAACCTTGACTCACAGCAGATACCCGGCACTGACTGTCCAGGCTCTGACTAGACCTTTGAGCCACTGGCGAGTGTGTCCCTGCTCCAACAGAGCTGGCAGCACAACCTGAAGTAATAATAGCTCCAGAGACAACTCACTGACTGGAGCGTCACTGTTAAAAAACAAAACAGGTGGACAGAGTCGGAAAATAAACTCACTCAACAAGAAAAAGTTCCCGTTCAAGAGTTCATTCTTCACTGGACAGTAGATGGATAAATGTGTCAACATAGTTTTAAAGGGGGAAAAACAAACTTTCTAACAACATTACCAACTTTCATGAGGATGACCTTCGACTGCACTGTCGTTTACCTGTACAGCATGACATTGTACGGCAGGAAGGTAGGCAGCAGTAATTTTATCAGTCTGATGGGCAGCCACAGCATGAGCAACACGATTGACCCAAACACCACCACGGACAGGATGAAGCGCCGCAGATGTCTGTAGATTGGCAGATGGATCATCTCTTGCACAGGGTTGAAATCTGGGTCATTGAGGTTTCTCAGAAACCACAGCACACCAGGTCTCAGCACCTGGCAACCGTACAAAAGTTTAATATACAGAAACCAAAGTCAAACCACTACAGAAAAAAATGTAATCATTACCTCTCTTAGCAGAAGAATGAACGATGCAAAGTAGAAGACATAAACCATTCCTACGAGCCAGTGCAAGAACATTGTGGTTCCAGGTGCTGACTTAAAACTTAACTCTCTGTCCTTCAGAGAGGCATCAAACATCTCCTACAGGGTGAAAAACAAAAAAGGAGCCTAGTAAGCATAGCAATAATAACAATAGTAATGTTTAATTTGAATAATGAAAACTGAAGTGACAAAGAGCATTTTCACTTATGCATGTGATGGTTACTTGATTAAATCCTATTTTCTTTCCTACTGTATGTTCAATGGTGTTTACTTTCAACATAAAAACGAGACACACTATTAACTGTGAAACTAATAAGAGAATTTTAGAAATAAAACATGACAAATTTGAAGTGTTCTGCAGACATGCTATCCTGCGCAGAAATAAACAGATTGAAGAATTAACATAAAAACTAATCTGGTTAAACTATGAATTCGATCAATTAAATTATTCAGCCTAACAGCAACTGCAGGAGCTACTGTAGAAAAACAGAACTAATTTGACTAAAGAAGAACATTTGAGAGAGAAGTGAGAGGAGGCCTTTTCCCCACTTCACAAGGAATAAGAACATGCGGTTAAGTGTTGACATGATTAAAGTCAGAAATGTGACTTATTCTTACCAATGAGCAGATGTCAAGCCACCAGCCACAGATGAGAGGAAACACACCAATCTCCACAACAACCAAAAGAGAGACCTGCAAATAAAAGAAGAAATGTGTCAAGGACGATCTAGGCATTTTTACCATCTATTTTATTACACCTAGCTCATAATGCAATATATATCCTTAATCACTACACCTGTTGATATATGTGCTTTTCTAGTGTGCATTTCAATTGAGAGAGAGAAAGTAGAAAGTTAAAAGGATCAGTTACCTTGACGACGATGTAGCAGACTCCCAGGAGACGACGGGAGCGCTGGAACCTGACCAGGGCAGCCAGTCCCTGAGACGAGAATTAAGGACGAACACTGGCAGCAGGTGTGAATGACTTAACATGCAACCTCTAGACATGTAATGTCTATACTTTAGGATGAAAACTTAGAGTTCTCTTGGTTGCAGGCTCTAGAACTAAAGCACCAAAGAGACTGTTGATAGAGGATACGTGACAGAGGATGAGCGTCATGGCCAGCAGTATGTAACCTACAATTGTTGTGATCAAGCCCTCGAAGTGGGAGGCTTGGACCTGAAAGAGAAAAAGACCATTATTATCATTTTGACAATTATCATTTTAAAATAATTAAATTAATTAATAATGTAATTTGGCAAACAATGTTACTAACATATTCTTCAAAGCCAAGACCAACAACAGAGAAGTGACCGATGTGGTATGGACAAAAGGCTGGACAAAAAAAAACAAAAGCTATTAAATTGAAGTACATGTAAAAAATTGACACATTCGTGTTTTGTCATTTTAAGTTTGTTTTAACAACTCACCAAAGACCAGGATGAAGAGTGTGTTCAGCGACACGACCCAAAACACATGCTCCTAAAAAACAAGAACAACAGAATCAAATTGTAAAATGTAACTTTGAACACATTACTACTGAGAGACAATATTTAAGTAAAAACACAATGAGAACTTGCCAAAAACACCAGGGAACCATCAAGGCCAAGCATCTAAAAACGAAAATAAATATTTTTGCAAGTGTGTATAACAAATCATATCAGGATGTATGGAGATAGAAGTTTGTGTTGTGACATCAGTGATGACAGGTAAAGTTGAAGTTACCCTTTCCCAGGTGAGCTCTTCTGCTGCTCTATCCCACTCCAATGCATTCCAGTTCATGTCATCTACAAAGACAGGGACACATTTGGTTTAATTACTGATTTTAATTGTGAGAAAACAGGGGATATCTTCAGTTTATTAGACACTGTAAGACTTTTCAACTGCAAAAGTTGAGCCTCACAATTTAATATCAACTTTTGACAATCTGCAAAAATGACTAAACTAAAAACAAGTAAGACACAATAGGTTGTGAATTTTGGGGATTTATGTTGCCAGTAGATACAACTGTGGAGTTCTATTAACATACATTTCTAGTTATTTTCATCATTTTAACATGGGCCTTGAATATTTCTTACATGAAAACTGAAGTTAAAATAACTTTTCACAACTGACGCAACCATTATGCAAATCCTAACCTTGTGCTCCATTATTAGCATCTGCATCTTCAGCTGCTGCTCCCTCCTCTTCCTCAAGCTCTGCGTCATCACCTTGGTCTGGGGGAGCATCCGGGGGCTCAGGCTCTGCCTCATTCTGGGCTGGAGGCTCTGCTGGCGCTGGCTGAGCTGCAGGGGGCTCATTTGCTGCTCCCTGACCTGCTGCCTGTGCCTGAGATTCAGAAAGTCCAAGGCTTGGTTGTAACACATTCCTTTTGGGTCTGGCATTAACATTTTTTCCGTAATAATCCTGGTATGTGGAGAGCTCTATGTACAGGCATAAGCCTGAATGCTCTAAATACACTATGAATGTGTGATTCACAATGCAGTACATGTACCCCCCTCTGTCCTCCTATATTCATGTGTTAAAATACAGTGTCAATGTTAGGTAAACAAGTCATGTCTCATTTATACCTTTGCAATGTGGGATTATACAATGCAGGCAACGCACCTCGTTGGCTTGTCCAGCAGCATTAGGTGGAGGTGGATGATGCTGCTCTAACCACTGGGGGGCCCCACCATGGACTATCTGCTCTCTAAGCCACACCAGACTGATAAATGCACACAAGGTGCATGTGACAACGAAGCAGCCCTGAAGACAGTCTGCTAGCAGGTTCTCTCTGCAGGAACAAAGAGGCAGAAATGGTCGCGAAATTAATCTACTTCTAACAAATGACCACAATAAACATTTCAAACAGAGAAGGGTTTTTAAATCACCACTCACGTAGAGAGCATGTCCAGAGGCAGTGTCAAAAGTGAGCTCACAGAGCCTGTAAACAGACACTTGTAGATGCGACCTGAGAGGAAAAAGATGTGATATCAACCTTCAATTTAATCTGTTAGAATTAGACTGCTCTTAACAACTATCCATTAAGATAGATTACCATTACAAAGCTTAATCACTGAATCTGTATGGATTTCAGTGCTAATATATATATAGATATATATAAAGGTACATATATATATTTATATTGTATATATTAGGACATTTTCCCTAAGATATTACATTCACAAAAAATAAGGATGGTCCTAAAAAAAGGAGCAAATCCTATTTGCTCTGCTACTTGATATGACCAGATAATATCTACTATATGCAAATACTCGGAATAATCCAATTCCACGGTCAAAGGTGCTTCAATAACACCCTTACTTTCCTTTGCTTTTTGTTGTCGTGTATGTGTGTGTTTATAACTTACATGCAGTTAGTGGAACAACCCCAAGCCAAGCAAAGGCCACTAGTGTATAATGGAACCAGTAGCGTATCGCTGTGCCCACACTGGTCAGAAGACCAGCACAGATGTCCTGTATAGGTAGACGTGAGGGCATGTCTGGGGAGTAGACTGTACACCGGAAGAAAAAAATATACAAGAAATATAAGTCCTAGAACAAATTCATATGTCTGTAGGCTAAAATATATATATATAAAAAACAAAACACAAAGTAGTAGAGCCTTTAAATTATTACATTTTTAATTAGATTTTTACATTACAATAATAGAAGATTAATCAAGATACATCAACATTTCTAGATACGATTTAAAAAAAAATTACTTACACAACTTTAAATTTTATTTGACAGCCCTACAAAATAGATTATGCAACAAACTTACTTGGTGTGAAAGCGAATCTGTGCTTGCATAATTCACAGTACTCCTTTCTGCTGTGCTTCAGCCACTGAACCAGACTGTAAAATATTCATCAGGTGAAAAGATCAGATTTCACATCAATGTGCTAATACTGCACGATTCTTCTGATTTTAATATCAGATTTGTGAACAAACACTGATAGGCAGCAAAAATTCATGACATCAAGAAATTTAAGTTTACTTTAGTTTACTCATTTACATTTATTTAAATACTAAAGGGTCAACCTTTATACACCCAAGAGTAAATGTAGTTCTTCAATGACATCTGCTGGTTGATGATATGCACAGCATTTAGTGATACCTGTAGCTGGGAACTATAATACTATACTATTAATACTTTTTGTTCTAAATATTGTTTTTACTTTTGACAATTCTGTGTAACATGTCATAATCATAATAAACACCACCTACTACCCTACATAGTTACAGAAATATTCCTACCTCTTTCTAAAAGTATCAGCAAGCCTGTGACTGACCGAGCCTGTATTTGTTTGTTTTCAATTATCAAAGAATTTTATTAGACTAGCGCCTGCAGCTTAACCATAGCAAATATATTTAGCAGGAGTGACAACTGTAGAATTTAATTATTCTACATTGTGTTCTTCAAGTAGGGTAAGACAATGCTTCATTCGTTCTATAACTCCACAACTGTCAGATGATGGGCAAAATTGATTCAACTTCAATCAAAGAGTGAGAAACACCTTTAGTGTTTAAAACATTGTCTAGAATATAAAGTGAAGTTTTACAAATATATCCTCCAGTTTTGACCTCAAATGATCCTTTTCAAGTACTCAGTTGATGGGACTGCAGAAAAATGTGATGGGATCAGTAAACAGCACTTGCAGACCCAACAAGCCCTGTTTGTGAGCATTTATCACATCCAAGCTGGGTACTCGCTCAATTTCTAACTACAGGCAAACACAAAGGATCTATCAGTTATTTCTGAAATGTGCTACTATGTTTTCACATAGGCCAAAGAGAGGGATTAACAGTCTTGGTTATATAAGCCTGCCAACACACCAGCTGATTCCAATAAGAATGACATATGATAGCATTTAAGTATTACATCAGTACAAGTATACGTCAGGTTAACCTACAACGTATAGACAAATGTCTATGAAATATATATATATATATATATGTTCAGTAATACTTTCAGAATATTTGCTATTGATAGTGAGAACCCTGATGTTTCCTGTAGATTTAGACTGAGGGTCAACAGTTACAACTGAACAACAGCAGTATATCCATTCATCTGACCCTCTTGTAACCATGGACAATAACACACAGGTCAAATGAGAACAAAAGCGTTTCCCCATGTTCCCTGCAGGTGATGGTTTTATTTTCACCCTTCTAGAATCTCACCCAACTCCAGTGTTCCAGGTGTTACTATAGGATGACGGTAGACAGACAAGTTCATGATCACTTCTACTATTTAATAAACATCCGCATATTTAAAAGTAAAAAATATTATATTGGTATTGGTTGATATCAGAATCGGAAACTGTGTTTGGACAATATTGGCATTTCAGCAAAAACTTAATATCGGATATTCCTGCAACAAACAATGATAACACACACCTGTCATTATGTTCACATTTAACTCAAAACAACACATTTCCATCAAGGTCCATTTCTTTTGGAAAAGCACTGTAGAAAGTACTGATGTATGTGTGAGTGTGTGTGTCAACAGCCAGGTTTTGAGCCACTGCTACATAAATATGAATTAGTACTTACCATTCCTGGTGAATAAACTTGATACTGCCAGTGCAGACACAGGGGTGATACAGTGGTTTGTCCGGGGTCCCCTCCGAGCGGCACACACGACAAATATCCGCTACAAACACAAAGAAATAAACACAAAAAAAGTAAGAATAGTCAGTTGTAACCAAGGAAAACACACACAATGATTTGTGAAGGATAATGGTACATGATTAGGAGACAATTAAAGATGAAGTTACCCTAGGATACCTTAATATGTTCAGTAGTTAACCCAGACAATGTTCTGGTAAATTTTTACATAATTTAACTTTAAATGGTCACTTTTTCCTATGAGATAATATCATAAAGCTAAAATAAAAACTAACAAATCAAATAAGTAAGAACCGTTCTGAATAGTAATGACATGACAGCTTCGATGCCGTCTACGCTCTCTAATACATTGTTGCTGCACAAATGCCCAACTCTGTTGAAACATCACCAATAGTACAAGCAATTTTGCTCATTTCACAACTACTTATGCAGACTTTAAAGCTACTCTCTTATGCTAACTTAACACACAGAGAGGCCTTGTGAACAAATGTTTTCTTTAGATGCACTAGCAAAGCTAATGCTAGCCAAGTCTAACGAAGCAGATACAATAACCCCAGATTTCTAGTTACCTTCCTCAGCGGTATCCATGTTGCTCGTTAAGCACCAGTCGCCGTTTGTTGAAACTGTGCCTTGTTCAGTGAACCCATCCACGACATACACTGGCTAAGTTAAGCTAGCAAGACCTTACGTGTCCGATGTATTGACAGCCATGAAATGGTTTCTTGACAAGCTGAGTGCTAACGTTTATTTCGTC